ATGACGTCATCAGTGCAAATGCAAGCTGGCCTTATTCAAACATGATTCCGCAAATACTTTCTCGACTCCAGTAAGCGTCAAGGCAAGTAAGTACATTATGATTGTTCCAAAATGGGACAAGTGTCTAGGCTGACGATTTGTTTCCGCAAATACTGCAATAGATATGGCAACAGGTGTTCATCCCCCGAAATTCAGAAAATTTGTTTAAAAGTCGGGCAGAATAAAATAAAGAAAATCTTGAAACTATCGATTTAATGTAAAGCGACTATAAATATCTACTAGTATTCATTCTGCAAATAACAAGTGCCCGGTAGGGAAATTCTGCTAATGTCGGCGTAATGGTGGAGGGTCAATAGCGCTTCGACTACAACCCTTTATGACACATTCTTGTTACTAGATCATAAAATAATAAATATATCTGTCAATATTGAGTTGTTAGGAAGACATTGCACTAATAATATTAGACTTCAGGTATATAGTACAATGGAAATATTACGTAGAAATTGGCAGAATTGACTCTATTTAAGTTGCTGGAAATTTAGCATAATTTCACAATCTTCAAGGTCGCAGAATCCATTATTTAACCCTTTTAACCTTTGAAGTATAGGGACGAAAATGAATTTTTGTCTTATGGCCCCATTTTGTATTAAAAACAGATAATAGTTATTATGACAGCCTGGATAGAAATGATTAACTGACACAAATCATTCGATTGCATGTATTGGTCACGCGATCAATTTTTGTATTGAAAGAGCCCCAAAAAGAAGTAATTTTCACGAGTTAACTACTCTGTTCTCAAAAATGCTAAATAGAAGCACATAATGTAGAAGATTCTTCAGGGTCTATTACATCTGCAGTTCCATCTCTAAATTGACTGGAACTGTTTCCGATGGATAAATTACTGAAACTGTAAACTGGCGCCAAGAACATACTTTTAGGAAGTCCTATCGAAAACTGATAAATCGGACAATCAAGAAAATTCCGATATCTATGTATTTACATTTTTATTATTCCATTCAATTCATTAATGATATTGACGGATAACAGATAAGCCAATATTTATTTAGCTTAGATTACCGAAACTCTTGAATAATTATTATAATTGCATTGTTATGTAACAGCATAATATATGTACTATGAATGTAATAGCATAATATACTTATAATATGCATTATTTTTTCTCATCAGACTACATTTGACTTTTTATACCTGCAACACATTATAGCGTCACCAATGGCACTCACCAGGAGATAACAAACACATCACTCAAGATGGATTCCGGATATCGAACGGAACAAATAATAGAGAGTTTTAACTACCAATAAAACTTACCTATTATTTTTCCTAAAGATATCCGGAATCCAGGTAAGTTCTACCTGGTGCATCTAGAGTAGGTATAATGACGGTAAGCGTTCGTGCCTAAAAGTCATTGGTTCGCTACCCGCAAACTAGATGGCAGCACAGGCGCCGGAAGTAAGAGGGGAGGTAGTGTTTTGGACCGGAAACGTCACAAAAAGGATGATGCTTGACTCAAGATGGATTCCGGATATCTTTAGGAAAAATAATAGGTAAGTTTTATTGGTAGTTAAAACTCTCTATTGTAAAAACATCATTTAACGTTAACTAAGTTACATTACATTACTACATTACTTCAAATAGTCAGTTTTCAAAAAAAAATGTAACTTAATGGATCAAATAACAGGATCATTTATTAAAGTACTTAAACTAAAACATCAGCCATTAACATAAAGTACATTTGTGATAATAATGAACCGTTATCACAAATGTACTTTATGTTAATACACTAAGTAAGGGTTTGGTTACTTATTTAAAATGTATTTAAAAATAAAATTCAAAAACAATTGCGTAATAAGAATAACAAAATACGAATTCGAGAAGATGAAGTGAATTCGTCCCTGGTTATTAGTTAATGCAAAAAAAACAGTTAAAGGAAAAAAACAGCCGAGCCCCATCTACTTGCGTACGCTAGCCAATCACAGATCTCGACCGGTGGCGTTTTTTGTCCCGTTTGCGTTTTTTGTCCCGTCGGCGTCGGAGCCTTGATCAGGATTTTTTATTCGCCGCCGGACGTTTGAGCGTGAGATACGTAACTGCATCGCTGCTAACGTAACGCTGCGAAGCGACTTTTCCGTCCATTTTTCTATTGTAATTTTATTTAGTTTTAAGTTAACTAGTTCTTAGTGTGAGTGTGTGCGTGTGTGGCTATAATGCAAGGGCAGCTTTACGTTTGTAACGGGAACGCTTACCTCCACCACACCCTACAAACCTTCGCGTTGTTACAAGTGCACTTTATAGGCTAAAATAAAATCGTCCAGTCATCCCACGTACTTCCATGGATGACCAGCGAGGCGGCCGATCTAGGCGTATACCTGTTCAACCCGCTCCAGCTCATTCTGTGGTGGAGGTGCGCGAGGTACTAAACTAAATGTTTGGAGATCAATGGATCGGCCAGTACGGACCACATCGCTGGCCAGCATGCTCACCTGACCTCACGCCTCTGGACTTTTTTTATGGGGCACTTTAAAAGATTGCGTTTATCATGATGAATGCGAAACTCGTGGTGAAATGGTGAACCGCCTGGTGGGAGCATTTGAAGAACTCCGCCGGCAAATTCTGGAAAAATTATGTAATTTCGCGCGTGCTCCGGCATACAAAAGAGCATGCTCAACTCTATCTGCAGAGAGGAGGTGGACATTTTGAGCATCGGCTCTAGGTAAGTAATTAAATTAATACTAATAATTATCATTAAACTTAGTTCTTATTAAATGGCCGGTTGTAATCTGCACACATCGACATTACATGTAGGCATAGTATAACTCTGTGTACGCTAACGCGTGAGCGTGTGTGCGTTAAAGGGTTGTTAACATTTAGATTTTTAAATATTTGTTAAATAAAATGAACATTTGCATGCTACCTAACTTGAAACTTTCAGCTGTGTCGGTCGTTTTGGGGCTCCCTGTATGTTATAAATACAATATAAAAGAAACCTTTTTCCCCTTGCTTTTAGCGTCACATTGGTAAGTTATAATTAATGTTTTTTTTTTAAAGAATTTCTCATAGTATTTTTTATTTATTATATATTAGGGTAATTCTTTCATTTCTTTCTTTCATTTAATAGAAAAAAAAACCTCATTATGATAGAGGATACTTAAAAGAATGAATGAACTCTTTTGCTTTTAAGGATTTAGGGAAAAATCTAATATAAAATCAAAGTCAAAATAATCTTTGTACAATCGTTTGTTAAGGTTCAATGACGACTTTAAGATTATTTAGACGTATAAGGCTTTTAACTAGTGACAACATTAATGGACATTTGTGCGATGGGCAGATAAACAAACAAATAAATAATTATAACCATCGATTGATTTTCCTACAATAGTTATCCCTTCAAAGATTATTAACTATTCATGCAGGAAGGAAACGTCCGAAATCCGAAATTAACTACTGACAACACTGCTTGGCTGCGTTGCCAGAAGGTTACTTTTGTAACCTTTTAGGTGATTTTTAACTCCTTGAGGTTACTTCGAGGTTACACGACACAAAAGGTAACTTTGTGGTAACTTTTAAAATTGCGCGGAAATACTTTTCTATGTTCCCACCAGGGGCTTGTATCTACCTAGTCTGTGACAGGAAGTGCAACCACAGAATCAAATCAAACATACTCTTCAATCGTCCGATTCGCTCGGCTAATCGTCTAAAGTTAAATACGCGATTCACTATCTTACCACCTGATGTTAAGGACAAGATGTTTAGTCCCAATTTTGGCCGCGAGCAGACTTATCTATGGCGGACTCTATCTCAAAGAGAACAGTAATAATCTCTATCTTCATTCATTCATTCTTCCAGTCAGATTATTTATTATATTTTAAACTGTGCATTTGCATTATTGTTTTATCAGCTACAATATTGCAAAATCACTGACCCCTACAAATTAGAGTACTGTAATCCACGGTTTTTCATACCGCTTGAAAAAATGTATCTAGGCGTGTCCACTCAAGAATCCATTATTGAAATTGAAAACGAAATTCCAGCAACTAAAACGCAGATAACTGATTTTAGAAAATCATGTTTGTCGTTTTATATCGAAGCAATCAAACAGATCACACAACGTTTTATCTTTTCGGACCCACTTTACGACATAATCGAACTAGTCACAGATCCTCAAAAAGCTCAATCATTTGAGACAAAAGACCTTACTTTTGTCGTCAATAGATTTCCATATTTAAGAAACGATTTAGATCTCGCAGAGCTAAATAAAGAATGGAAAATGCATGCACTGTTAGATTTTACTCATTTAAATTTGTCTCCGAATCTAGAAATACTCGATTACTGGAACAATGTGTTTAGGTTAAAAAAAAGTTCAGGAGATTCATGTTTAAAGAAAGTTATAATGCTTTTGCTGGTCCTACCCTTTTCAAACGCCAGCGTTTTCAGCCAGCTCAAATTGATTAAATCGGACCATAGAAATAGGCTTGCCATGGAAACAATATCAGCTTTGATGGCTACCAAAGCAAATATTCCAAATGCCATGACATTTTAGCCAACAAAGCTGATGCTGAAAACTAGAATAAAATATAAAAAGGATGGGGAAAGCGAAGAAGGTACTAACTGATTACTAATTTATTGATTTTTACTTTGTACGTAATAATAAGAAAGCCATGTGATCTGTAAGAAAGGTCCTCGTGATCTATAATTTTTGTTTATTTGTGAATCTATTGTCTTTAATTACAGGTGTTCAGAAGAAGTAATTTTTATACTTAATAGCAACTTAAATATGGAGAAGAAACTTTTAAATGCCTACCCATAAATACGTAAGTATTTTTTTATGCTTTTGGACATCTAAAATGTAAAAGGTCACTTTTCCTGTAAAAAGGTTACTTTTTTGCACACCGCAGGTAACTTTTGACAAGACCTCGCTGGCAACACTGCTGCTTGGGTCGCGCCAAGTCGCGCGCAATAAATAAATAGATAGATGTCAAACAAAATTATTTAACCTATTGGGAAGGTTATTTAGAATAAATTACTTGCCTTTTTAGATTATAGGTAAACTTTTACATTAAAAAATGAGTGTTTCACATAGATTTTAGGCAGTTCTAATTCAACTTAAAGATCATTTAGTTTCAAATGTGCAACCAACTGGATCTGTCGGAATCTGTCAAAAATTACGCGAATATTTTGAGAATTACGAAAATAACATAATGTTCTCGCACAATGAATGAAAATGATAACATTGTCTGCACTCCAAAGCGTAACGTACTCACAGAAGTAACCAACTCTACAAATAATGTTTCTCCGACTGCTAACCTCAAGTTGTTGACCACTGTCGCTTTGCAAGAAAACGCTGTTGGAAACTTTAATGCAGTTCAATATCCGACACCACCATCAAGCGCTGTTCATCGCAAAGAGAAATCGTTACAAATATTATGCGACAGGTAAGTGTAACGTATGGTAATGACAATAAAAGTGTGAAAACAAAATCAAATAATGATTTTATATTTTAGATTTCTCGAACTTTACCCTCTTCATTCAAATGGAACGATTGAAATTCAGCTGGATTGTACAGCAGCAAGATTAGGCGTAGAAAAAAGACGAATGTATGACATAATCAATATTCTAGAAGCTATGCAGTGTGCTGTCCACAAGAGGAAAAATACATATCTCTGGTATGGTGGATCAAGACTGAATGCCTTCTTAAAAATGCTGAAGAAAGAAGGAGAAAATCTTAAATTATCAGATGCATTGAGAGGCAAAGCTCCCAAACCCCCTGCTCCAAAACATAAAACACTTGGTGTTATGGCCCAAAGGTTCCTCATGTTATTCTTAGTGGAACCACAGGTAATATATGTACATTTTTCTATTTTATATAAAAATTCTATAAATACAAATGCTGAAGTACGTCACCTATTATGGTTACTGAATTTGCTAATGATGGATATACCGTAGTAGCTCCTTATTGACATCTTCCTTATTTGCGGCTGAAAAAATTGTCTTCCAATTTTTGTACTTGTGCCTAAAATCCTGTTTATTCATGGATGCATTGAGTAAAATAAAGGAATTCAGTGTTGTCTATAAATGGATTGTCATTTTTAAATACTTTGGGCATGTGTCAAGGTAGCTTTTATAATGCCTTTGTAATTTTTTCTTCAAAGTATTCATAAAATACTTTAATAAAGCTATATTATGAATGCTGCAGCTAGATTGATTTTATTTGGTAGTTCCTCAATAATCCCATTTGTATTTATTTTAATACTCATATTGCTCTTATTTTGGAAGCTTGGCACATATCCCATATAATTCTATACTAAATGCCATCCTGTATTTGCGTTTTCTGTATTTGCAACATATTTAAGGAATATATCTTCTGTGAATAAGTGGCTTCTACTGTATAATTAGCAACTGAATAATATTCATAAAAGAATGCATGCTATTTATTCAAATGTATGGCTTACACATACATTCTAGTGTTCTTTTGTTACTATATATTTTTATATTAAAATCTATTTCCCATTAATATTTGATGCATGCTCTTTAGAACAGTAATTCTAATATTATAAATTAACCACAAAACATAGAAAGAATACATGTTATTAAATACTATAACATTTTTTTGCAGAATACGCTTATAAATTTAGAAATGGCTGTAAGAGTGTTAATTGATACAAATAATAAGAACAGAACCATTCTCTCGCCTGATCAGCAAGATAGACAGCACAAATCCAAAGTGAGGAGGCTTTATGATATAGCTAATGTATTTATATCAGTTGGTCTCATTGAGAAAGTTTCTGGAAATTCTATTTTAAAGAAACCCGTATTCAAATATGTTGGACCGTTTAAAGTGAAAAAACCTATTGAAGTAATCCTTTATACACCTCCCATCACACCATTGAGCATGTTGGAGCAACAAACACATAATCATATTTTAATGGGTAAGTCTAAAAGAAAACTTGAGTTTACTGCTCCAAATACCTCTAAAGAAATTAAACTAACTGTCAACACAACAATGGACACACCATCACACAAATGGAATGATATATTACTTGTGGCAGATATGGAACTGACCAAAATGAAATGTGGCAAAATTTTGTGATTTATATTGATAGCTAATAAACCTAGTATAATATATTAAAAAGACCTAGGATTGTCCAAATCAAAGGTTTTGAATATCATTTGTTCAGACTGACTTATTTATATATGAAGTCATATTTTTAATACACTTTGTCTTCCTGGGGTGTCTATTTATTATAATTGACACTATAATTATAATAGAATTATAACTATGAAGATTTGTGGCAGAAACTATTGCTTCAGTAATTCTCATGCTTTTATGTATTATTTTATTGATTATATTTTGCAAGAGAAGAATATATAACTTTTTTAATGAATGCTTTGAGATCTTATAAGTTTTGTTAAAAGCTTAATATTTCCAGTGTTGTTGCAATAGTGATAGTTGGAACTTGCTGTATTGAAGGATTATCTTTGTCCAATATTATTGATAATTAAAAAGGTTGTTATATTTAATAGATTCCAAAACCATCAATTTATAGGGCATTAGTTACTGAATGAATATATTGATCGATCTATAGTTTGGATTGAAATATCTATAGTTCAACTAGATCTCCAGACCCCAATAGTCATTTTGTTATGATGGTACTTCGGTCATATTGAGCTGCACTGGAGAGCTTGCATTAAAATATTTATTATTTATAACACCCATGGTGATAGTACATCTGTCATTTAGGGAAATTGGATATTTGGGAACTGGACGGTTCAGGAATTGGATATGTTGGGAGCTGGATGTTTCAGGAATTGGGCATTCTGAACTGAAAGGAAACGGGCGTAGAAATATTGTATGGTATTTGCGGGACGTTACTCCTTCTGACTTGCGTTTCTGTAAAAAACCAGACCCGATTTTGAATTCACTCATGTTTCCGAATTCCCGCCATTTAGTGTAGATTTTTTATAAAAATACAAAACAATTTTTTTTTTATATTTGTGTCTCAGATATTCTATTTCAATGCCATTTCGAAACTCACTTCACTTGTGCCACGAAACGTTATTGCTAAATCAAGGTTGAGCTGATGCCGTGTCTGGGATGAATTCAGACACCCTAGTGAATTCGAATTCGGGTTTAGATTTTACAGAATCACAGCGCTGCACGGGTACATTTATGAGTCATACTAGACATGTCTTATCGTATCACAATACAGGTGATAGTCCATCACTGTTGCAGCAACACTGATCTTTATTTATCAGGTGCTGATGATATTGTTGACCCATATTTTATACAAATATTAGGTTCCTTAATAATAGTTTGACAAAATTTTACGACTTGTTACTTGAATGTTTTAGCAGGTAGTGCAATTGATAGATATAAATATTTAGAAAGTTTAAGATCATAATTATATTTATTAAGTTTAAAGACTCGAAATTTATATGAATTTGTGAACGTTATTACTTTACCTGATTGACTAATAACAAAAAAAAAAGCTTATTTACAGCAACTCGTTTAATATTTTATTTTTCACAGAAGGACAAAACAGTAATATAATATTATATACTTATAACATGTTTTGACCTATCTATTATGTTCATACTACAGTCTTATTGAATTAAGCGATGCATGCAAATTTGAAGAGCATGCTAGACTCGCTTGTAAAAGCCCGATCACCTGTGTTAAGACCGTTAGCATAAAACGTTCAATCTAGTATTGATAAAAATGATTTAAATATTAATTGGATGTAATAGTTTATCTCTCTTACACCTTTGCAATAGAAATAGGACAGGATACGCATTAGATGTTATTTTTCACAAAGTTTTAGTGTAATAATAGATGATGTATAAAATTTCTGTAATTTATTCATAACTTTAATTAATTGAAAATAAAGTTAAAATTTGAGATTGTAATTTGGGATATGGAAAACTGATTAACTGCTGTATATGAATATTAATTTAAGAAAAAAATATATAATTTTCCTATTAATTGTTTAACTTTGTCCAAAGAAAGAATATAACAATATACCTATTATACATCATATTATATAGAACTGGTGTCACTGTTAAGGGAATAATGTCAAAATATTAATATACAAATGCATATTTGTCTGTTTTCGAAATAATGTGATTAGTTTTATAAAGGTTGCTTATTATTTTTTATTTGTTTTTAAAGTGTAGCCGTATTAAACAGTAAAAAACTGTTTTTTGTTTTATTAAAGGAAATTCATAAATCAACTTATCCATATTAAGTCTTAAATAACCAAATTTACCCACCCTCCCCTCTTTCTACGCACACGTCCACATTGTGAATAAACTGTTTATAATAAGGCTGGAACGATAATAATAACTTAAACTTCATAAATTAAGATAGAAATTTATTAATACTAACTATAGGTATTTACAAATTGATTAATTATAAATACAAGTTTTATTTTTTTATATTTTAACTAACGATTTATAAATTTTATACAAATCAAAACAAACAATAATATTACTAATTATCATTCAATAAGAAAGAATATTAAATTAATTAGTGCTAGTTCTAAATTAATGATAAATTAAACCCTCAAACGGGGACTTAATTGTTTACTTTTATAATCTATTGCAATCCTTTTCTATTTGACATTGGAAAGTTAATCACTTAACGCTAAAACTATTTGATAGCGATTGCGATCTCGGCGGTTTTTGAAGATATAGAATAAACGGTATGTCGCATCATCATTACGAAGATCGTTTGATTTAGTTTCTTTTATTTTAATTGCTAGTTACTCGATTGTAAAGAGAGCGTGATCATCGATACTTTTAATTTTATTAGAATGGTGACACTGACTTTGACAGTTCGTTTATAAAAACCAAGTTGCCGCCATTTTGGCACACATTCTGTTTCCAAACGCCGAGGCGTAAAGACATCAGATGACATCACGCTCATCTCGTTATATTTTCGTAAGAAAAGTGATAAAATGGAACAAATCCACGTTGGTATACACGCCTGCATTGTTATTTAAAAGATAGTCCTCCGATATGGACAATCTATTTGGGCTTCGTAATAGCCCCTTCGGACTACCCGCCGTTAGGTATCATTAATTTTAGAAAGTAATATGTTTGAAAGATATTGAGAAATGTTAAACAAGAGTGAAATTCTAACTGCAATCTTTCAATAGGTTTAACTACGTATTTATTATGTTTCTTTATCATTCAAATCATCATTTCTTCCGAAAGCTACTTTAAAAGTTGCGTAAATCTACAAATCGCTATGCCGAAAAGGATTGTAATAGATATTAAAATTAGACAATTAGACCAGTTTTCATATTTTATGGTGTTCAGCAAAGTCAATCGAGATCTCGTGTTAAAGAATAATCCGTTGAATAATCTTAAAGTAAAGGGGCAAATCATAATTTATACATCTTAATTACCTATCATTGGAACTGGCTCTTGTTAATATTAATTAAGTACTAATTTTAGGTAGGCATATTATCATAGAGACTTACGGCCGGTTTCTGAATTGAAAAAAGTACAAATCTCAACTGATTATTCTCAATAACATAAGTTTTAAGTTTCACTTAAATAAAAACCTGTTAATGTTTTTATAACATTTAAGTATAGTTTGAGACGCGCTTAACTTTAAATTTTCAATTCAGAAACCGGGTGATAGACTACAATCTTTACATAGACACAAAATGGAAATAAACCATCAAACGAAGAGAAAAAATATCAATTAATACCATGAGTAACACCAAAGATTCATTAACCATTAGAAAGACATAAAAGATTATTTATTAATTAAAATAATCCCATTGCTCAGTCATTTTTTTTAACTTGGCAACACCATCTCATTGTCATGGCGCGTTAGCATAGTCTCATTTCGTGCTACAACAGTAATATTAGCAAAGCACACTATCTATCACTAGAAAAGCGAGAAAATGAGATTTTGTGCCGATAAAAACGTACAAAGACACGTGTATATAAATATATATAAATTGTTACTTCTCGCTACTAACCAACTCTTCTGGTTTATTGCTTTATAAGCTTCTCGTTCATTGGTTGGACATCTCGAGTGCTGAATACCAATTGAGAAATAATAATTTTCAGATATAAATGAAATATGGTTAGTATGTATTAAAATAACCCTCATATAGAAAAAAATTCACCCTGGGGTGGAATTTCTAAAATTCCGTTCTTAGTACACTTCTATGTAGGTTTTAACATAAATATATCTTATAAAATAAAAAAAAACCATAGACCTCAAACTGCATTGCCTATTCTATGATGCATTAAGGAGGTGCAATATGTTGCGGTGGTATCATACTGCTTGGTGGGGGCAAGTACAATGGCAAATGGAGCTGTCACACTTGCTCTATCATCGGGAACTGTTCCGAACCGTCGGTCGCGGGTAATGTTTCCGCGTCAAAGAAACTAGCGTGCAGAGCGACCACGGTTACAGTTGCACCTGAAAATGTATATTTATAATAAAATGAAGCCTTATGCTTTTCTAAGTAATAATAATAATATTTATTTATTAGACCACAAAATACATATATATACATAATTTTGCTATATCTGATCTTAACATTTATCTATTTTAAAATATTCTTAATGAACAATGCTTAAAAAATCCTTTGCCTCGAGGTACTCTGAGATGGAACTCGAAACCACGACCTTACACAATCAAGGCGACTGCTCTACTCACTGAACTACCAAGAACCTTACGAGACTGACGAATCTTTCGAGCATTTTTTTCTTTTCGCTACTAACGAGCAAGCTGGCAATTCACCCAAATATCCGAATGAAATATTTTTACAAATTTTTTAAACTTTCATTTAAGATGAAAATTTTACTATTTTTTTTTTGAGATACGACTCGAACCCACGATAGTCGCCCGGATCACGAAAGTGGTTTTTTATGGATTATTCGCTAAAAAATGTTTTCGAATATAGCACCGTCAATGAAAAATTTATTAAAGTAACATATAACATCTGCTGAACTGAGTAGATAACCCGCATAGTTACAGCCCCCAACCTCAGGTTCTCTCCTATAATAATCTATCCTATCCTATCCTACTGACATTATAAATGAGAAAGTTTGTGAAGATGGATGTATGTTTGTTACTAGGGGTCGCAATACCTTTGGGAAATAGGTTTCTTTGCGAAACCGGAATTTCGGTACTTACTCCAAAAAAATCCCGGTATTTTCGGGATTTAAATATAATCAATAATTATTGTATCTTCTTACATGTAATGTAACTTTAGAGGTAAGTAAGATACAAGAATGCCAGAGAAATGGCAAATTTTTAATTTCTAAATAAAACCATTTTTAATCGATTAGATAAGTTAATTTCAAGTTATGTACGTCATTATTATACTTATACACAAAGTACAAAGAGGGGTAATGCGATCCAAGCAATGGCGCGTCATGGACAAGTTGTTGATGGTTGTCTTCTCTATATCCGAATGTCTATGTCCGAATAGGCTCCGTAACTACTGGACCGATTTTAAAAATTCTTTCATTTACGGGAATCTACATCATATGCGGCAAACATAACCTATATTTTATCCCAAAGCAACAAATAAAGGGATGAAAAGGGCCGTGGAAGTTTGTACAGCGAATTAAGACGTTACATCCGTAGGTCGCTGGTTCATATCCGGCTCGAAGGACCATAAAGATGTATGGTCTGTACACCTTTAACTGATTATGATGATGAACTTGATATGGTAATCTTGATAGAAACACTGATACTAGCTAGGAGTAGGTACGTATTACAGCGAACTGATGTGAAAATTAAAATATTAATTCTAATTGCGAATAATAAATAAAATACTGACTCGAGAAATGTATGCTGCATGTATAGTATAGTAACCATTATATACATTTAACATTACATTTATTGCCAGTTGCACAAACGTCCATTAAAATTACCGTTAGTTTACAGCGACATTACCCATACAACTTTACCATTAATTAGAGCTTAACGGCGTCATTAAACCCTAATGGACGTTTGTGCACCTGACCATTAATTTAACATTACTAGTTACTATGGTTATATACATAATGGTATATAACCATAGTAATAATTGTTTACTATGGTTATACATCCCAGTTGCGAAGCCGCTGGCGGAAAGCTAGTAATTATATATTTTAAGTACCTATAGTAACAGAAGATTCTTCAGATACAATGCATTAAGCGTCTGTCTCACTCACGCTCGACAGATTCAGACGCGTAGATATTGGTGGATCGCTTTGTAGAAATATATGTATACGGAAACTTGTAATTGACCTTCTTTATACTTATATAAATATTCCATCATAATATTACCTAGCTCTAAGTTTTCCAGTGATAATTAAAAACAAAACCAGCCGAAAGTTGATCATTTTGGAACGAGCGAACTTTTAAATCAATACACAATTAAAAAAATATTTACCTAAAACCCAGAACAAGACCGCTCCAACACCAGCCAGCCAACAGACTACCATCGACGCAGCCGCAGCGACCATATACTGTTGCGTTTTCGTCAATTCCCAGTTTCCGATCTATAAATATGCGAAGTTAATTAAAAGAAAAGGAATAGGTATGTATATGAAAAATACTTAAAATATTTATTTAAAGATTTACAATTTTTGCTTGATAGCTAATGAAGTATGAACAATACAAAAAAAAATTCTATACTTCTAGTTTATAATGAGGAAAGATAATATAAAGCTTTTTCCATTTGTCGCTCATGAGCAGTGTGGTATATTAAATTTTGACATCACAAGTATAGTATGTTTCTATCTTTATCTAATTAAGATTCTAAATATTCAAATTATTATTGATATTTAAAACTTAATTTATGCACAGCATATATGAGTGAAAATTTTAAGTATATTGTAGAAACAGTATGCATTGCAAGTGGAAAAAGACTACTTACTTTACTATTGATAAGCTGAAAAAAAGAATATAGAACTTCTTATAAATATGCAACGACTAATCATAATAAAAATAATAATTTAACTTACTTTCCATGTATTAGGTCCAGATGTTAATTTTCTATAGCCAAAGAAACTTGCGACAATGGCTATTAGTAATAGAGGTGATGTTATTCTGAAAATAAGTAAAGAGTATTCTATTACTTTTTACGCTTTCTTAAGAGAAACTTTACGCCAATTCTATTCAATGAGAAAAATATTTATTCAAAGTACTTAGTTCTAGAAAACAAAAATAGATGTCGCTACATACTTTCAAATAGTTGCGTCAAATCTCTTTATTTAATTTTAACGTCATTGTTTCATGACACAAATGCTTTAAATGTGTCAATAGCTAGCGACATTTGATTTTAGTAGTTTATTTATTTAAGTAGTTCCTCATTGAAAGAATTTCACAGTTCGATGCGATTTAACTTACAAGCAGTATGCAAACAATCCCAAGGATACCATTAAATAGTTTGCTTGAAAGTACTCCAGGTTTCTATAAAACCGTCGAGATAACCTCGGTATGGAACCGGGAGTCTAGAACAAAAAAAAAATTTAATTCACAAACATGAAAGAAATATGTATAATATGGTCCTAGTGCTGGCGAAAGCACGCGAATGATATTATAAACGTCGAAAGAAAAGATAGATAGATAAATAGTTTATTCATACAACAACACACAACTACATCACAACTTGTACAATACAAATAACATTTGAGAACAGAACACGTAATTATATAAGTGATATACCTGTGTGCAGCAGTAAGATAAGGGTCAAGGCTCGGTGCACGTAAATCACCCAAGAATGGGTGAAGCACCGATTTTCAGCCGTCACCCAGTACAGAGTGAGCGGGGCAGATTATTGTCAATGTCATATTAATAAGAAGAATTCAAAAATGTCCAAAATAAAAGATAGAAATATTATTAATGTAATGTAAGATAAATAATGAAAAATTAGATAACACAGAGGTCAAATTAGTAACAAATTAATATTAAATAGATTTAAATATATACATGAAATTATAATACGATGAAATAAATTTAGAATGTCAAATTGTGTCAATGTCAAAAATATAAATTAAAATTAAGATTATAATGTTAGCTTTCAGGAAAAACCAATATTTCAGTCACCTCACTAAACATGTGTTCTGAAGATCGAGTAAATAGGTTTTTAATTTTTTTTTAAAAGTATTTATTCAAATGAGGTTTCTCAACGGGGGTGGCAGATCATTCCAGCACTTGGTTGCCTGAAATCGAAAACTACCTCTGAAAGCCACAGTACGATGATGATAATACGCAAGTACGGGTCGAACAGATCTAATACCGTGCTGCGATGTGGAAAATAATAATTTGTCGTACAGGTATTTGGGTCGGCGATATTTGATGACTTAATACACAAGACATACATATATACAAAAGTATACATATCCTTTGTATGGTTACCGCAAAATACTGAGTTTTATTGTTCAGGACGCTATAGGTTGCTGACCCCACCGTAAAACTTAGTGAGAACGATACTGGGTCTCTGGGTAACAATACGTATCGAATTATTATGGAATCAATGTACAGAAATTAGTGTCCCTTTAAACTTTGGGCATTATTTAAAAGAACAGCGTACTAATTTAAGCAATGTTAAAACATACAGAGTAATAAATTAATATATAATCGATTTGGAATAGTACCTTAAAATTTTCTGTAGCTACAAATTGCATCCATGGCTTTCGAGAGGCCAACACTCCCATCAACAAGGCAGGAGCGGCACCATTACGGAGCTGCTGTACAATCCTACCATGAAACAGACATCTTGTTAGTGACATGAAAAATATGTTTAAATGAAAATATTGGTAAATTTAAAACTCGAAAATGGCTGGACCTATAGAGTATGTATACAGGAGATAAAACATTGTTACATCAGTGAGTTTTGGCGGCGTTGCTAATGCGTTTTTGTTTGCAATATAATAAAATTTCATCTCTATAGCAAGGCCACTTTCATTCATTACAAAGTATAAATATATAAGTAGGTGCACTCGAGACTCGAGCGAGAGATAATAGCCTAAACATGTAGGGCTGTTGCTTAAAGGTTATTTAATCGTCATAAATGCATGGTCAATCAACCTCTAAAATATAGTTTCCCCCAGTATGGTCAGCATCCGGAAACTATAATACATTTTTTTTTAGTATATAGACCGGACTACAATTCCGTCATATCATTAATTTAGTGTTTTGTAAAATGATAACGTGGTTTTAATGAATTACGTATTTATTATTTTTTTCCAAATAATCAGGCTACGAACAAAAAAAGGCAATGCCGATCTTAATGTTTAATAATCGTGTACTTTGTACAAACTGTTTCAACCAATAGTCCAATTTTTTTTATTACATTGTCTAATACGCATTTATACAATTCAAAATCTATTTCAATTTGGAGGTATTCGGGCATGGAGATTTAATAAATTAAATTAGAAATTGATATCTGGTAAACGAAATATTGAGTAGAAATAATTCATAAACACTATCGACGGGTAAATAACTACACAAAATTATAATTACTTATGATATTATAAAAAAGTACTCGAATACCTAAAGAACGACATACCATATACTTGATTTATAAAACTGTTAAATATCATATACTCGATTTATAAATACATATACAATATTTACGTCCAGAAATTTTATAACGAGCGGCAATACAGCGACACGGAATATACGCAAGCACGGCGTACTAGCCTTTTTTTATTTTTTTTCGGCTCTCAACCTTAAGGGTTCGGAACCACCCTCCCAACGGGGGAAGGAGGCGGTGAATCCTTCATTGGATACCACGTGCCTTGAACTTTTATAACTTCGATAATTTTGTGTGCGTGCGATTACGCATACGCACGGGTACGCTCACATACAAACCATTTTTTCGGTGTGTATGTATTAAGAGCACCTACTCTTATACTCTGCAGCTTATATACAGTGCCGGTTTTAGCACTACTAGCGCCCTGGGCGAAATTTCTTCGGCGCCCTCTAACTGCAATTCAATTACAATAAGTTACTACTACATACTTCAAATCAGTTACTAGTCTTTTTTTCCCGACCCGGTCTACTTACTTGTAATTTGCCCTAAATTTAGGTAGATTGTTAAGTTGGCAGCATTAGAATGGAACGTAGTGTTCAATCGGTTTAATTTCTCGGGAATCCCCGACTTTCCGACCATACAGAAACAATGTGTTTTTCTATAATCGGGGATATCCTAGATCTATCTCTTTTAATTTTTGACGAAGAAGAACACAATCAACAATTATCTTCTTGCTTGACATATGTGGACGCTCTTAAAACAATTATTCGATTATTTTAAAACAAACAAACACAGTAATCAAACGTTTAACGCTACGTTACGATGCTTTTGTTCCAACTATATAGTGACATTAGTTTTATTTAAAAAGTAGACATGAATAGTGTATAAGTACAGATTCATTTTTACCCTAACAGGGTGTCACATAATTGTTGTAACTTTGTGAGAGTGAGTTTGCAGTGGGCCATTACTTATTATATGATCAATTATTTTGCTATTTCAAATAAGTGGACAAGTAGCTGGATCCGCTATATTCGGAACAACATCATCTAGTACATGTATTTGTTGTACATCAATAACAGATCAATAACAGAGCAGCATCTGTAATCATAGCACAACTTGCTCCCTTACTTCGGGATTTTTCATCCACAATCTCTTGAGTAGCTATTCCATTTGACTTGCCAGGCAGAGGCTCCACTGCCGATGCATTCGTTTGTATTGCAGCATTTTAGCTTCAACTTAACGTTTAAACATGCTCAAACGAAAATTTTCTTAAATGACCAAGCGATAATGCCCGCCAATGTACGTCATATTACCTAATAAAATACATATCTTCATATTGGTAATCGGTATGTTGTTCTTTTTTACCATAATATAATATTTTTCTTGTTAAGTATCCTTTAATTAATGCTGAAAGTGAGGCAACTTGAAAATAAAAAAAAAAATCCTCAAGGTTCTTATTCTTGTTCAATGAGCAAGGGAACTACAAGAGGGCGTCTGTGGGAAACGAGGAAGTATTAGAAAAAAAAAATTAGTTCCCGAAATCAAACTAGATGTCACTACGGTATGTTCTTGATTTCTCTATGACAACCCTTCCAGTTTTCTTTCAGATTTAAAAGTAAATTAGTTTTCAAAACTCAATTAACAACTCATATTCTATTTGTACTTTTTCATATTTGTATTGATTTCTAAGTTTCGAACTTTTAATTTTTAAATTTTTTAATATGTTAGTTAAAATGAACGGAAATGACTGTCTTTATTCCATTCGTTTTCTGCAAAAATCAACTTTTGCTAGGGTCGCCATCTAGGTGGAGGTATTTTTGTAGTGCTTTCGTTTTTTTTAAATACTTCCTCATTATATAGAATCAGAAAGAAACGCCGGACGAAAAAGGGGCGCCGCGTCCTGCTGCGCCCCTTTTCGTCCGGCGCCCCTGGGCGGTCGCCCAACCGCGCCCTACCCTAACGCCGCTACTGCTTATATATATTTTTTGTAATATTCATTGAATGATATCGCTCGAAGAATCCAACTCGGCTGGGCAGCGTTCGGGAAGCTACGCGATATCTTCACGTCCAAATTACCACAATGCCTAAAGACGAAGGTGTATAACCAGTGTGTGTTGCCAGTGATGACCTATGGCACTGAAACGTGGTCCTTAACTGCTGGCTTCTTAGAGAAGCTCAGAGTCGCTCAGCGAGGCATGGAGAGAGCTATGTTAGGGGTTTCTTTGCGCGATAGGATCCGAAACGTGGATATTCTCCAAAGAACTAGAGTGACCGACATAGCTCGCAAAGTTTGTAAGCTGAAGTGGCAGTGGGCAGGCCACATCGCTCGACGAACCGATAATCGATGGGGACGAAAGGTTCTCGAGTGGAGACCACGAACCGGAAGACGCAGCGTGGGTCGACCCCCTACTAGATGGACGGACGACATCGTCCGAGTCGCGGGCGGCCGCTGGATGCAGCTGGCGCAATGTCGTCCGTCGTGGCGTTAAAAGGGGGAGGCCTATGTTCAACAGTGGACGTCTTCCGGCTGATGATGATGATGATTGAATGATATCAAATAAAATTTCTTAGGGAGAAAAAAAATGGAAAGATGAAAGGAATGTAGTATAAGCAAAACTTCACTTTTCCTATACAAACTGATATGAAGCTCACCGGCCTATTTATTACTCATATTTTAAATACTAAATATAATTTTAAGCCCAATATTTTTTTTTCCTATAATATATAAATCAAACAAATAAATATAAAACAAATACTAAAAGTAATTATATCAGCCGATACCTATAGATCAACGGCGACCCAAATTAGCCGGTTAGGTATTGCAAGCCACGATGCAGCGTCAGCGGAAAGTGTGGGTACAACGTTCGACGGATTACATGACCTGGCGTCATCATATTGTGTAATCCACATTTTCATTAAATTAATAATTATATTTTTCCAGTACTTTGTTCCCAGCATCGGGCTTAGACAGTAGTTTGTAATAAATTAAATTGTAATTTTACTTTTATTAAATAAATTAAATTTTAATTTAGTTTTTTTTTAATTCCTCCAGCTGGACCCTAGGTAATTAAGTAATAAACAAATACATTGTATATTTCAATTGTATAATGCAAAATAAAGTTTATGCTTGGGATTGTTTTAGTTGTTCATGAATTAATAAAACATTAATTTTTCTTCAGTCTTACTTGATGACTTTCAATAATGTGTAATCTAGAACATACACAATAATAGGCATCATATATGTATATATTCTTTGCAATTAAAACAAATATTTTCATGATATTAATTACATAGATAAACACTGTTAATATTGTAAGGTAAATACAATATGCACAACGAGTTAAAATTGATTTTCAATAGCCCAAACTTAAAAATATAATTTACTAGCTTTCTGCCAGCGGCTTCGTCTGCGTGGTCTTGTATTATAAATATAAACACCCTTTTTAATCACCCTATCTATGAAAAAAAAGATGCATCAAAATCCGTTGCGTAGTTTTAAAGATTAAAGCATATATAGGGATATAGGAATGGAGAAAGCGACTTTGTTTTATGCTATGTAGTGATATTGATAGTAAGCTGTTTAATGAAAAGGACATAAACCATTGTGTATTTTCAGTAGAACAAAATTCTAGGAAGTGACTTCCATACTATAGCAAAAAATAAGATATTTTACTATCTATATTTTAATAGAAAAAATATATATTTACATTGACTTACTTCTTCAAATGGACAACAAGTATATTTAACATTATCTGCATTTAGATGCTCAGTTCCAATCAGTAAAATAAAGAGAGGGGGAGAGTAATGAAGAGAATCTTTGTGGTGGTAACACACATTTCACAGAATAATCTACAGTTTTAACATGTTTAAAAAAATACATTACTATATGACAGATACAATATTTATAATGGACATGGGCTACTTTTTATTCTATTGCCATATCAGTGAGTGAAAACACAATAGCTATAACAGAATTGGAATATTCAACAATGGACTGAATACATATAAACAGCACATATATGAACAAGTACAGCTTACAGGGAAGTTTTAATTTTTAATAAATAATATTATGTAGTTTCACCAGATCCCGTAGATGATACGGATAGCAAATAAAACTAATTACTTTGATCATTTTATTACTCTACATGTCACACTACAAAACCATTTGTTTCATAATTAAAAAGGCACCTAAAAACAAAACCAAATCTGTGATCAACAATTGAATGCGTATGATTACTACCAACGTAACTAGGATGACGAATATTGCTTGATGAATCTGATAAGCATAATATTGCTGAAGCTAAAACCCACGTAGCGCACAGCTAGAAGTTGTTAAGACTTACAATTCCATATCATTGACATACTTTTGGAAACCTCTTTTATCGGAGCCCTGCGGGAGATTTAGCTCGCCAGAAAGATCGATATTAACATTTTCGGTCATTTTTGTAAACACTTGTAAACTTTTATAAAAATCACAAAATAAATCACACACTGGTTGACAACCACAGACTTTGACAACCGTTGACAATGACAGCGGACTTCAATCAAAAACAAGGTAGGTACTATTTTCAATTATGTTATTGCAGTGAAATCTGGTCAATACAGTAGATTTCTGTCTGTCTTCACTCCAGGCTAAAATAATATTTGCCTTATGACAATAATAAAAGAATCAGAAGAAATAATTACCGAAGATTTGGAAGTTTTGGCTAGACGCCAAAACTAATAAAATATGATTATAATAAAATATTTGCCGCCATAAAATCAAAAAGTTCTGTGAAAACATCTAGAAATTAATAATTCATGTAAACTATTGAATCGATAATTTACCGGAATTCATCATCAGCCGGAAGCTGAACATAGGCCTCCCCCTTTGAACGCCACGACGGACGACATTGCGCCAGCTGCATCCAGTGGCCGCCCGCGACTCGGACGATGTCGTCCGTCCATCTAGTCGGGGGTCGACCCACGCTGCGTCTTCCGGTTCGTGGACTCCACTCGAGAATCTTTCGTCCCCATCGGTTATCGGTTCACCGAGCGATGTGGCCTGCCCACTGCCACTTCAGCTTACAAACTTTGCGAGCTATGTCGGTCACTCTAGTTCTTTGGCGAATATCCACGTTTCGGATCCTATTGCGCAAAGAAACCCCTAACATAGCTCTCTCCATGCCTCGCTGAGCGACTCTGAGCTTCTCTAAGAGGCCAGCAGTTAAGGACCACGTTTCAGTGCCATAGGTCATCACTGGCAACACACTGGTTATACACCTTCGTCTTTAGGCACTGTGGTAATTTGGACGTGAAGATATCGCGTAGCTTCCCGAACGCTGCCCAGCCGAGTTGGATTCTTCGAGCGACCTCTTTGTCGAAATTGGATCTACCTAACTGGATTGTCTGTCCAAGGTACACGTAGTGATCGACAACTTCGAGAGTATCAGTTCCAATGACCACCGGTACGGGTGCAACATAGACATTCGACATGATTTTCGTCTTATTCATGTTCATTTTAAGACCCACCTGTTTGGAAACGATACTCAGGTCGCTGAGCATTGTACTGATGTGCTCCATCGATCTTGCCAAGATGACTATATCATCGGCGAAACGAAGGTGAGTGATGTATTCGCCATTGATGTTGATGCCGTATTCGTCCCATTCCAAGAGCTTGAAGACGTCCTCCAATGCATTCGTGAACAGTTTCGGAGAAATGACATCTCCCTGTCTCATGCCTCTGCGCAATTGGATTGGTTTTGTGCTCTCTTCCTGGTAGTGAATCGACATTGTGGCGTTGCTATACAAACGCTTCAACACTTCGACGTACCTGTAGTCGATTTGGCATCGCTGGAGGGACTGCAGTACTGCCCAGGTTTCAATTGAATCGAAGGCTTTCTCATAGTCCACAAACGCTAAGCAAAGTGGCATATACTCCTCGGTCTTCTGTATAATCTGCCGCAGCGTATGTATGTGATCTATGGTGCTAAAGCCTTTTCGGAAACCGGTTTGTTCGGGAGGCTGGAAGTCATCAAACCGGCGTTCGAGACGATTCGTAATGACCCTCGAAAACAGCTTATAAACGTGGCTCAGAAGCGAGATTGGTCTATAATTCTTCAACAAGGTCTTGTCACCTTTTTTGAAGAAGAGCACAACCACGCTTCTGTGCCACGCTTCTGGCGTCGTACCCTCGAGAATGACGGAATTGAACAATTTCTGGAGAACTAAGAGTACCGGTTTTCCACCCGCTCGCAAAAGTTCAGTAGTGATTCCGTCATCCCCCGGTGCCTTGTTGTTCTTGAGCTATTTGAGTGCCATTCTAATCTCGTACAGGCTGATGTCTGGGATATCCTCGGTGTGATGTCGGGTCAGCTTTGCTCTGGTGTCCATTGCTTTCAACGGGTTGTTGTGATGATGTGTACGACTGTCCATAAAACCTCTCAAGCTCAATCAGAATCTCCGGTTTTGAAGATACGATCCTGCCGTCGTCGATCTTCAGCTTCGTCATCTGACTCGACCCAACAGACAAATTTCGTGCAAACACTTTGGAGCCTTGGTTCCACTCTATTGCCTCCCTAATACGTGTAGTATTATAGGAGCGCAGATCGCGTCGCATCGATTTGGAAATTCGTCTGTTAAGTCAACCATATTCCGACATATCGGTTGAATATTGTAGTCTCATATCCCTCCGGTCCGCCATCAACTTGAGCGTTTCGTCTGAGAGCTTTTGAGATTTAATACGGCGCGGGGCCTTATAGAACTTAGACCCCACAGCTTGGACTGTTTCTACAAACCCGTTGTTGATTTCGTCCACAGACTCGCATTCAGCTAGTGTAATTATTACTTTAGTAAAATTATCCTTTTATTCAAAAAATATCTAGTCTTTACAGTTACAGTTAAAGTTTTTGCATACAAAACCCCTTCAATCATTTTAAAATTTTGGGTTGAAACCGTTTTTGAAAAGGAATTTCGAAAATAACTTTCCAATAAACCTTTCAAATGATAACTGATGTTGATCGGATTAAGGAACATTCTTTTGAAACTTTATGAAAATTGAATAACGTTGTCGAGTCCGCCAATAAATCAACAAGAAATTAATTCTGTCGCTATTATACGTATATTTTCTCGAGATTTCAACGTGCTGTGGCAGATAACGGATATGTATTGAATTATCTAATCTTTGAAGAAGGTTTCTGAAGAAGTGAAGTTTTTATAGTAAGTTGGAAAAGAAAAACAACTGCGTTGCTTGGCATCAAAATTTAAACAAGAAGTTCAATTTTCAGTCAAAAATTAAATAACACAGGAGAGTTTCGGTACTGATCCTCGTCGTAAGGATACCGTTTTCGTATATGACGTCATTGGTTTTCGTTAATCAATTTTTTCAAAATCAAGTTTAGTTCTATAATCTGGCAGTACAGCAAAACAGAATTACAGTTAGGCTAGTAGACTAGTAATTTTCATTCGATTTATTACGTCTTATTTAAAAAAAAATTTTAAAGGTTTCTTGAAAGACGGATTTAGGAGTTCCATTACAGGCTGGATCATATGCAAATTTGAACTTGGCCTCGACACATACCGCTTTTCACTATCTTGGTCAAGGTTACTGCCTGAAGCAGGAGTGGCTTTCTACAATAACTATATCAACGAAATGCTGAATAATAACATAGAACCACTGGTAACACTTTACCATTGTGATTTACCACAAAAATTGCAAGATCTTGAAGATTATGCTTGATTAGCATTTGAAAATTTCGGAGATATGGTGATGTTCTGGATCACTTTCAATAAACCAAGAGAAATCTGCTATGAAGGTTACAGAGCTGATACTAAAGCACCGGTCGTTAATGCCACTAGTGTTGGCACTTATATTTGCGTAAAAAAATTTGCTCATCGCTCATGCTCAAGCTTACCTTGCATATGCTAAAGCCTTCAGAAATACTCAACGTAAAACTATTAATGTGAGTTGGTTTGATCCGGCCACTGATTCTGAAAGGGATCAAATTGAAGCGGAGTTAAGAAGACAAGCAGAAGTATGTTTTAATTAAACATTTTTAAAATAGTATCTACAAAAAGAGCCACTTTACAAAATGTTAATTTTGTTTTCAGTGGGGCCTTTACGCCGACCCTATTTTATCAAAACAAGGTGGTTTCCCTGAGGAGTTGTCGGAACGGGTCGCTGCCAAGAGCGCCGAGCAGGGATACGCGTGGTCACGAATGCCTAAATTAATGGAAGAAAACGAAATTAATTCAAGGTAGTTTTGACTTTTTTGGCGTTAATCACTATTAGAGTTCCTTGATTTCCGAATCTGAGCATGTGGTTAAATATCCTGTCCGATCACTGTATGATGATTCTGATTCATACACATACACACCCGATGATTGGCTCAAATCTGCTGCATCATGGTTGGACGTAAGTAACATGTAAATCTACGTTTTTATGTGCTACCAAAATATTGTGTACTTCAGTTTATCTTTCTTCAGCAAGCACCGAACAGTGTCTACAATGTCTTCACATTCTTGAGAACTCGATTGGTGATATCGATTTTTACGTCACAGAGAACGGTTGCTCTTCTATCTCTGGCAACTTGATGGATGATGACAGAATCCGTTACTACAGAGCCTCATTAAACAGTATTAGATGCTGGCGTCAACATCAAGGGTTTCATGACTTGGAGTCTGATGGACAATTACGAGTGGAACACTGGATTCACGTACGTTATTACACGTATCTATTATTATAACGTATATGTTTCTAATTGTATTATATTATATCTATATCAATTTGATCATATTAATACAGGCATTAACACTTTGACTAAATCTGCTTTGACAAATTTTTGTCCAGTATTGTTATCTATATATCAAACCAGGGCTCTACAAATACCCCGCCTCCAAAAGGGCAGGTTGAATGTGGCTAGCTCTCCCTAGTAAAACCCACTGCGGTTCACCTCAAGCGGATGGATGACCAACATAATTTTCAAAAACAGAATAAATGAAATGGAAATCGATTGGAAGATCATAATAAAATAAGAAATTAATGTCCCAAATCAAAAACAATATGTAATTTATTAATGATTTTTAATTGGCCAATTTATGTGTTTATTTAGTTCTATAATTGTTTACTTTTTTATCCTCAGAGAACGAGTAGGACTTTACGCAGTTGACTTCGAAGACAACTGCGTAAAGTCCTAGACCCTGCTCGACCACGCACTCACAAAAAATCGGGATTAGTTTACAAAAATATCATTAAGAACCGCACCATTGATTCCGATTATGAGCCTTAAAGTTTTACTATGACATTTGACAACGGACTATAGATAACAAGTTTAAAAAAAAAATTTATTATTTTCAAGTTTTTTTTTAAATTTGCATTACCTTCAGTAATTTTTAACGGTATTGTGATTCCCTATTCAAAAACTGTTAGGAACCTTGGCGTCATCTTCGATCAAAATCTTTCCTGGAAGCCGCAAGTAGAGGCCGTTAGAAAAAAGGTATTTGCCACGTACTATTCACTTAATAGACTACGCAACTTTTTGCCTACTAGTACTAAAGTCTCTTTAGCTCATTCGTTATTGTTATTGATCATAGACTACGCTGATGTTTGCTACACGGATCTATCAGAGGAACTTCTCAACAAATTAGAGCGTCTGCAGAATATTTGTAGCCGATTCATTTTCAACCTTCGTAAATTTGACCATGTGTCGAATTTTCGTTCCAGATTATCTTGGCTCCCTATTCGCCGGCGCAGGGACTTACACACTTTAAAGTTACTATATTCTATACTTTTCCTATCTTCCTCTCCACACTATCTCAAACAATGTTTCTCTTTTCGTTCTTCTTCGTCACTGAGTTCCTTGCGATCCTCATCCAACCTCACTTTGGACATCCCGCGTCATAGTTCCGATTTCTTCTCCTATTCCTTTTCTGTACATGCTGTGCGTTTATGGAATTCTCTCCCGGACGATGTCAGGCACACTTGCTCACTTAATTCTTTCGGCGATCGAGTTGAAAGCTATTTCCTTTCTCTCTGTTAATACTATTTACTTATACTTTTTTATTTAATATGCAAAGATATATCTTATCATATCCTTCTGACCATTGCACCCAATACCCCATATTTTCCCTTTCCTTTTATTATTCTCTTCCATAGGTTGCCTGGAAGAGATTGCTGTTTAGCAATAAGGCCGCCTTTTGTGTACTTTGTATTGTTTTACTGTGTAATTTCTTTCTGTTTTCCTGTCTGTATGTGTGCAATAAAGATTATATTATTATTATTATTATAACCGATTTCATTTATAAATAGAGAGAAATATGTTTTGTTAAACTGCTACATTAATTAAACCGCTTTTAAGACAATGAGTTTTAATAAAAAGTCTAATAAAAAGTATTTTGAAAATCGAATTACAATTAACATGGAAAAATTTGTGAACACCATAGGTGAACATAAATGAAAAAATTCATCGCTGACGAACTGAGGCTTCCTCCTTTATGAATTTGAAATTGTTTAAAAATAGACAACAATTTATGCCTAATAAAGCCTCTGTACTTTGTAGTCTGACGCAAAGAATCAAAACATTTGCAAATAATATTAATTAAAGCGGCTATTAAAGTATCGTTTAAATCACCATTTTTGCTTCGTTAATAACATAAAGAAAATAATTATATCAAGTATTTGTTTATCTATCTAACTATATCTATTTTTATGGGATGAAAAGGAACGTGACCGTTTTCGGAAATTAGCATACGGAGAAAACGCCTGATCCAGAGTAGAAGAACTTAATAATCACCTTATAAACTGATAAAAAATAATATGCACCGATAAAAAACTTGGCCTTTTAACGTTTGCCAATTTTAATTAATTTTCAAGTACTAAATGAACATCGAAGTAATATTTACTTGATTATCATCAGCCCTTTTACGTCCCCACTGCAGGGACTCAGGCCTTCCTTATGGATGGTTAAGGAGGATGGGCCATGACCCTCCACGCTGGCCCAATGCGGATTGGAGGGTATTAACGACTGCAAATGCAGCCGGGACCAACAGCTTAACGTGCCTTCCGAAGCACGGAGTAGCTCGAGATAATAATTTTTTGGTCACCCATCCCGTGACCGACCCTTGCAAAAGTTGCTTAACGAATACGATCGCGGGCCGCGGCGCTTATCCACTACGCCACCGAGCTACTCAATATTTTAAAATATAAATAAATTACAGTGTCTTTCTAGAAATAATACGTTAGTATGATTTCATCGATATCTACTTGAATTTTATTATCTTACTTCACATTTGGTATATAAACTTAGCTAATCTTCATGACGACCTAGTTGTATGTTCCGAGATGAAGCTAGCTATCATCGTAGGGTAAGTTTTGGTTCAAGTTATTTTAGTAATCATAAAAATGTTAAGTGCTGTCCTTCATACTCTAACAAACAATTTAAAAAATACCCAGTTGCACAAACTTCCATTAAAGTTTAATGATGACTTTAAGTTCTAATGATCATAATTGTCTTAATTAGAAATTTTGTATAGGTAAAGAATATGTGGCTATAAACTAATGAAAATTTTAATAGAAATTTGTGCAACTGTGTGATAAACACTTTTACAGAAATGTCATTAGTGTATAAGCGATATTTCCGAAATAAATTTTAAAATTAAAAACATTCAGCCTACCAGCGTATTAATGCCCCCGCTGCAGGGGATGGGATCGAATCAAATGGAATAGAGATATTAGACCATGACTCACCACGCGGACCCAGCGCGGTTTGGTGGGCATTAACGACTGCAGATGCAGCCGGCCCCAAGGGCTTAACGTGCCTTCCGCAGCACGGAGGAGCTCGAGATAGTAAATAGCGAAAGTTTCTTAACAAACGAACGCAGACCGAGAGCGCTACCCACTGCACCATCGAGCTCATTCTCCTCCTCATTAACACCGTCATTAAACCTTAATGGACCTTCTGCAACTGATAGACACTCACAGTCATGAAGTAAAGTGAGTGCAATGATTAAATAACTGCATAGTAAGATATTTTTTTTTAAATTTCTGCAAAGAACCCTATGTATGTACATAGAAGTTTGAATTTTTGAAAACAAGAGAGCGAGCGCCATGCAGAATAGGTATTTATGTATTACGTTTTTTAGTGCAGGTTATTTGTGATTAAGATAATCTTTTGACGGGTTGTTTACTTACTGAGATGTTACTAGGTGTTAGATAAGTCACTTTATTATATCCAAAAGGGTTAGATAACATCAAATTGATTGATATACTCGTAACCGCATTTTGGAGTGTTTACTTTACATACAATATTTTTAAGACAATTCAATTCAGCTTGAGAAAGGTATTGTTTTATTACCTTTCTCAAGCTGTCGAAAAGGCCTGGTCCCGGCTGCATGTCCCGATACTGGGTTCGCGTGATGGATCATAGCTCATTCTCCTTATTCGGTTTGATTTAATTATATAAGTATCAATATGATTCCCTGCTCAGGAAACCGAACAGGAGAATGTTTATTACCTTAGACTAGAGTATAAGTAATAAATTCATCTGAAGCTTAGAACATGTCTTTAGATAATTATGGCCTGTTTCCAGGTTGTTTATAATTAGTTGTGCCGCCAAGACTGTGCGGCAGGAGAGGAGCTTTCCAGATGACTTTTTGTTTGGTACAGCAACCGCCTCCTACCAGATAGAAGGAGGATGGGACGCCGATGGTAAAAGAAGAAACACATTTTTTTATGTATTAAGAAACTCGACAGCTTTTTTTACAATCATTTTCGTCTTCACTTATATAATTAATCTATTGGATAGAACAGAGTTTCATGGCTTGAATAATTATATTCGAAGGAAAGTATGCAATACACATAAATTATTATTATTATACAGCATGGTAACAAAAACAGATATCGCGTTTGGAAAGAAAGGGATATATTTCATACAACATGTATCTAACTGTGGAGTCCTTTAATGAGCTTTTTTTATCGTTCGTTTTATAAATTTTTAATTGTATAGCTGTAAGTTTTAAAACAAATTAATAAATTAAATATCAAACGATACTAAATTAATGAATCGATTTCGTTCTGACGTGCCACCACAACACAACAGTTCATAGAAATGTTTTTCCATAAGAAATAACACTATATATTCAAACTAAAATTAGATTTACTAGACAACATGCTAATAATTCATTTTCCTGAAATTTCAAAAGTTGTCCATGAAGTAAATTTCTTATAACCATTGATAAGTATTTTCAATATTGCAATTGAATCTTGATGAATTAAATCCTTATTTAATTTTTATCATATTCTGAAGCAATAATATTTGTATTTTTCAGGTAAAGGCGAAAACATTTGGGATTACATGACTCATAATAAGGCAGACGTTATTAAAGATTTGAGCAATGGGGACATTGCAGCTGACACCTACAACAACTACAAGATGGACGTGGAGATGATGCGAGAGCTTGGACTCGACGCTTACCGCTTCTCGCTCTCATGGGCAAGAATATTGCCCGAAGGGTTTTCACATAATGTAAACGAGGAGGGTGTCGCTTTCTACAACAACTATATTAATGAAATGCTGAAGTATAACATACAACCTTTAATCACTCTTTACCATTGGGATTTACCACAAAAACTGCAAGAACTCGGAGGTTTCGTCAATCCACTTTTTTCTGACTGGTTTGAGGATTACGCTCGGGTAGCTTTTGAACGTTTCGGCGACAGAGTAAAGTTTTGGATTACCTTTAACGAACCTAGAGAAATCTGCTACGAAGGTTATGGTTCAGCTACTAAAGCACCGATATTGAACGCTACCGCTGTAGGTACATACCTTTGTGCTAAGAACCTTGTTATTGGCCATGCTAAGGCTTACCATGCGTACAATAAAGACTTCAAACCCACTCAAAACGGACAATGTGGAATTACCATCAGTGTGAATTGGTTTGGTGCGGCTACCGATTCTGAAGAGGACCAAATTGCAGCTGAACTAAGAAGACAGGCAGAAGTACGTTTTTTTGTGCATACTTTTCATATATTCGTACCTAAATAATTTCTATCATAAAAATTATATTTTTTCAGTGGGGTCTTTACGCCGAGCCTATTTTCTCCCAAGAAGGTGGTTTCCCTAAAGAATTGTCGGAACGTGTTGCTGCCAAGAGTACTGAGCAAGGTTACGGCTGGTCACGAATGCCTTTATTCACGGATGAAGATCGGGACTTAGTCAAGGGTAGCTTTGATTTCTTCGGTGTGAATCACTATACAGCATACTTGGTTTCAGCAGCGGAAGAACATAAAGTGCAATATCCAGTCCCGTCGCTTTATGATGATTCCGATTCCTACACATACACTCCAGATGAGTGGCCCCAATCTGCTTCAGCTTGGTTAAAAGTAAGTAGGTAATCGGAAAAAACTAAATACCTCGCCTTTCATATTGTATGCTACTTGTTACCAAAATATTTTGTTTTCCTTTACAGTTAGCGCCCAACAGTATCTACGACGCATTCACCTTTCTGAAAAACAAATACGGTGATATCGACTTCTATGTGACAGAAAATGGCTGGTCGACGACTCTAGCGGCCGGCCTAATAGATGAAGATAGGATTAGATACTATAGGGCGGCTTTGAACAGTGTCTTGGATGCGAGAGAGGCTGGTGTCAACATCAAGGGCTATATGGCCTGGAGTCTTATGGACAACTTTGAGTGGATGGAAGGCTACACGTAAGTATTGATGAAGATGAAACAGTATCACTCATACTATAAATCTTTAATTTAAAAAAGGAGTATTTTCGCATACTCATAGTTCGTTGACCAAAAATTGGCATTAATAAACTCATAAAACATAAAATAATAGGGGTACAATAATAAGGGGGTCCGGACATTTGTCGGGCAATACATGGTTCCACAACCCACTACACTGTTGTCATGGGGGACTTCAACGCAAGGCTAGGCAAGCATGGCGATAAGGAGTTGAAGGTAGGGCAATTTTGCTCTGGGAACCGGAATCACCGTGGTTAAATGCTAGCCGACTACATGGAGAGGGGAGGACTCTTATGAGGAACTCCTTCTTCAAAAAACGATTGCGTCGAAAGTGGACCTGGAAGAGTCCGGATGGGGTGACAAATAGCGAAATTGTCTTCATCATGTCGACTAAGACTCAGATATTCAATGACGTCTCAGTAATCAATTCGTTTAATACGGGAAGCGATCACCGTATCGTAAGAGGCGCATTGAATTTAAACGTAAAAGCCGCTGCTCGGATGTGGACGAAAACAATGACAGGGTCGTAGAAGCTGTCCTTGCGGTGGGTTCAAAATTCCTCAAACCTCACCGTACTCAAAAAAGAAGCAAGATCTCGGAGCAAGATCTAATGGAAGAAAGGCGTGGAAAAGTTCTGCAGTCTTCTGAAGATGATCGTCGGCAACTCAATAGACAGATCTCGAAGTCTCTCACACGCGACATACGCCAATTTAATACTCAATGTATTAAGGAGGTGATTGAGCGGAATAAAGGCTCCAAAGTGTTCGCTAGAGATCTGTCTCTCGGTCAGAGCTTGCTGACCAAGCTAAAGACAGAGGACGGTAGAGTTGTTACATCCCGTCCTGAGCTTGTGGTGGAGATCGAACGCTTCTATGGACAGACCCTAAAGCCAAATTAACCCGACATTATACCTAAAACATCCCGGATATCAGTCTATACGAGATCAGTGGGGCTATCAAACAGCTCAAGAACAACAAGGCGCCGGGGAATGACGGGGTCACAGCGGAGCTTCTGAAAGCGGATGGACTCCCAGTCCGGAAAGCGCTTCAGAAGCTATTTAACTCCACCATACTCGAGGGCAAGACGCCAGAAGCATGGCACAGGGGCGTGATGGTGCTTTTCTTCAAAACGGGCGACAGGGTCCAATTGATTGGATTCCTGTTTTGGAGAGTCATCACGAATCGTTTCGCACGTAGATTTGACGACTTCCAGCCTCCTGAACAAGCCGGTTTCTGAAAAGGTTACAGTACCATGACCAGATTCATACGCTGCAACAGATTATACAGAAGACCGAGGAGTATAATCTGCCACACTGCTTCGCGTTTGTGGAAAGGACTTGGCATCAATATAAACGGCGAATACATGACGCACCTTCGTTTCGCTGATGATATCGTAGTCATGGCTGAGACCATAGAAGATCTAGGCACAATTCTTGAAGACCTCTGTGGAGTTTTCCAGCAAGTGGGTCTTAAAATGAACATGGAGAAGACAAAAATAATGTCAAACTCCCATGTGGTACCCACTGTATAACTGTTGGAGGCTCTACTCTGGAAGCTTTCGACGAGTACGTTTACCTGGGACAAATAGTCCGATTAGGTAAGTCCAACTTCCAGAGTTAAATCGACGGATCCAACTCGGCTGGGCAGTGTTCGGGAAGCTACGCCGTGTATTTTAGGAACATCTACCGCAGTGTCTCAAGAGGAAACACTTCAATTCGTGCGTGTTGCCAGTGATGACATACGGAACTGAGACGTGGCCGCTTACGATGGGTCTCATAAGGAAGCTCAAGGTCGCTCAGAGGGCAATGGAGAGGGCTATACTCGGGGTTTCTTTGCGAGATCGAATCAGAAATGATGAGATCCGCAGAAGAACGAAAGTCACCGACATAGCCCAAAGAATTGCGAACCTCAAGTGGCAGTGGGCAGGACAAGCTACGCAGTGTATTCTTGGAACATCTACCGCAGTGTCTCAAGACGAAGTCTTCAATTCGTGCGTGTTGCCAGTGATGACATACAGAACTGAGACGTGGCCGCTTACGATGGGCCTCATAAGGAAGCTCAAGGTCGCTCAGTGGGCATTGGAGAGGGCTATGCTCGGGGTTTCTTTGCGAGATCGAATCAGAAATTCACCGACATAGCCCAAAGATTTGCGAACCTCAAGTAGCAGAGGGCACGACACATCGCTCGCAGGACTGACGGCTGTTGGGGTGGTAAGGTTCTGAAGTGGCGACCGCGTAGACCCCCCACAAGATGGACCGACGATCTGGTGAAGGTCGCGGGAAGCCTCTGGATGCGGGAGGCGCAGGACCGAACGCTTTGGAGATCTTTGGGGAAGGCCTATGCCCAGCAGTGGGCGTCTCTGTGCTGAAATGATGATGATGATGATATGTAAAGTCACTCACATACTTACGACCTTTTCCCCACAAAATGTCATGAATGATTTTGTTCTTAGTGTGTGTGTCCTTTGTGGAGTGATCGACCGTACCAGACCGTACCAATAGTGTGAAAAGCAAAATTATGCAAATTTTTAATATGAAGAAAATAATTTCCATACACAAAATGTGGAAAAGATCGCAATAATTTTATTTCTCTTGAAATTACTATTTATATGTAAATATAAATTGGTCCTTCGAGTCAGTGAATCAGCGACATGTATGATTTGTTTGCTGTATTACAATCATAAATCAAAGATCACGTTGTTCTGGTGATCTTATTATTAATATTAAAAAGGTACACGTGATTTTAATACACACGGTTGCATGTCAGGATACCACAATACAATAAATTTCCTCAATTAATTTTGATTTCTACCTGTAATGCGTTAATTTTTAATGTTAAGTTTTTAAATCTATTGGAGAAATTCTATATTTTATACAAAAATATAGACCTGACGTACTGTTGACTTTACCTTTAAATACTTTTAAAAAACCTTATTCTGAACGCTGCGAGTATTTGATCGTAGCAATAAAAAAATATAAATGAATTTGTATCGTTTCCAGGGAACGTTTCGGATTATATGAAGTTGACTTCGAGGATCCTGCTCGCACTCGCACTCCACGCAAATCCGCATTTGTTTACAAGGATATAATCAAGAAGCGTAGCATTGATCCCGATTATGAGCCAGAATCCCTTACAATGACCATCGATGATGGATTATAAACAATAATAATACAAAACAAATATGGTCATGATAATTTTTAAAATTATTATAATAAGTCATACATAAATAAAAATATGTTCACAAAAATGTTATTAACTGTTTTATTTTCTGAGAATTTAAGTCCGTGCTTTACAACAACAACTACAACCTTTTTTTCAAAAATATGTTTTTACTTTTTTGCAGCATACAAAAATAAAAAATAAAACACATATATTAAAGTTTGCGTAAAACTCCAATGTGGGTCTATTGAATCCTTTTGCTCTAAAAACGCAATTATCAGCTGGCTCCATATAAGCACCAGTACAAAAATTATAAGTGCTGGCTCTAATGCCATGCTGACTCACTGTTTATTCAGCATGGCATGGAAAAACCTTAGACACTCCACAGATTGACGGTAATGGCAGTTTCTTAGGTTTTTTCCCAATTAGGGCTGCGTTTTATAAAAATAACAATACATTAATATCGATATATCGTTTTCAGTCGAAATCTATATCGATCAGCACAAACAATAATAAAATACTAGAAGAAACAAAATAAAAAATCAGGGTTATATGGTAATTCGTGAACGCGCTGGAAAATGCTTTTAAGTAGTTTATGAATCTTACTAAAGTCATATGTGAAGAACAGCCATTAAATATTAAAAAAAACTCTTTGCACTTCATTCGTTATTAGAAACCCCGAGATGAGATGTACCTGGCGTTGGTAGATTGTTGAAAACATTTTTCGTTAAAAATTTCCATATGTTGATATCTCCTATAGAAATCGATATCGCTGTGGCGTTGATACTTGATATCTATAAATATCGATATGTGGGTCGTCGATATGTAACGGTTTTCCGATATATCGTATACAACTATACATAGATTTGGTTTAAATACCAGCGTTGCCAATCTGTGGGGAATTCCCCAAACTGCGGGGATTTTCAGTTCAATTGGGTAATTTGTGGGGAGAGTGTCTATGTGGGGAAAATGCGGGGAATTGAGACTTTTACACTAGAACCACAGATAATATAATACTATTACCTAGATCTGAACTAAGAAGTAATAAAAGTAATCGAAGTAAGCATAATCTATTAATTATGTTCAACTTTAACTCAGTTTATTCGGCAGGTTCGTGTTAGACACAATGGCAACATTTATTTCCATCCATAGTTGCGTTCCAAAACTTGTTGAAATGTGGTTGAAATAGCATCAGGAACTACGTCTGGATGGCACAGCTGCTTGACAGAGATGTTAACGAAGAAAAAAATAGTCATGGAAAATATGGTGGGGTTCAGCTCAGATACGATCAATGTGATGGTGGGTGAACATTGTTCAGAGTTTGCACTCCTAAAAAAAGATTTGCCACATGTTGCTCTAATAAAGTGTTCCTGCCACATGATACATCTATTAGCATCAAAAGCTTGCCTTAAATTACCTAGGTATCGGATCGCAGATTTTTATAAATTCTGCCAAGCCTTTTATTAGCTATTATATGAACTAACTATTATATGAAGCCTATTATATGAACTAACTACGGATTTTACTAAGCGTTTTCATTTTTCGGACACATTATTTTCATTTATATCTGTAGTGAATCAATTACAAGCACAGCATTGAAAGTCAAATCCCTTAAACACTTGTTGCAACGATTTCTGATACTTGAAAATGTAGTGACATCTCAAAAACTAGATGACGAATGAAGAGCACACGCGATGTAAGATTACTCTGCTCTTGGTTTACAAGATGATGACAATTCAGAAACATACTGGGCTAAAGTGTTCCGTCTTAAAAACAGTGCAGGTCATGGAATGTTTTTAAATTTGAAATATGCAATAAGCCTATTGTTCCTTTTATCCTTTTCGAAGGCATCTGACGAAATAAAATTTAGCGTTCTGAAGAATTTGAAAACAGAAAATCATAATTGGCTGCAGAATGATACTGTTGTGGCGCTTATGACCACTAAAGACGGTATTACGAAAAAAGGAGGCAGCCTAAAATTTGAGCCGTCTAATGATATGTTAACGAAACAAATTTGGCGCAGTGAAGAGCTGGAGTAAATACGTCAACTAAAATAAATAAATATTTAGTTATGATTAATAATTATATTTGATTTAAATGAATAGTACTTATATTTCTTTGCTGAATACTTGCGGGGAAAATGTGGGGAATATCGATTTTATTTTCCCCAAAATTGGGGATTTTCAGTTAGTCTTTTGGGTAATCCAGACCGTGGAAGTTGGCAACGCTGTTAAATACTACTAATCCTTAATCTGTGGTTTAAATGACATTTGTTCCTTATTACAAGGTCAAGAAAGGAAATTTAATCAATTTAATTTATCGCCAACGAAGGTGAGCTTAATTATTTGCTATCTCTAATATCGTTGAATAATACGAATGGAGATTTTATCAATGATAATGATATGTCAATGATAATGTATTACGTTCAGCATATTTTTCTTCATATTATTTTATGATGTTTCCTAAAGCCTTGCTAATGTTACTTATTGTTTATAAAACATATGCAACAGAAGACGTCGCTCTTCACCAGATCCATACTGATAATGGTAATCTTTTTAATTTCACCTCAAGTCTATTATAGTGTGTTATAGGTTATCTTTTTATCACAAAATTCTTTACAAGTTCCAATGATTTTTCAACATGATCATATAGTATATTTCTTTATCGTGAGAGGGTCAAATGTAACATTTATGCTATTGTTTATATTACAGCCAGTTGTGTATTTCTATCATTTTAATTTCAGAATTTATTTTGTGTCGCACTTGTGGAAATTTGATCACAATTTCCAAATACGTTACTGATAAACGGAGTCCTGTTTCCCGGTTTATTTTTAATGATACTATATTTAACAGAAAAGAGGTTGTGGTTCAAGAGTTATTAGGTGATTTGTTTCTTCATTTTCCTGTGGTGACCTTTTTAGATTCTACTTGTACAGGAGTAGGAGAGGTAATTTTATAAAACAAAAAAATTATTGACTTAGATTTTCAGGAAGATATTAATATGCAACTTATTTAACATTACAGTGGGAGGAAAGTTCTTGGTTTCCTGGGTATATTTCAAGGCCATGTATGTGTGCTGAATGTGGCACATACCTGGGTTGGGTGTTCCAACCTGAACAACCAAAAAAGAATTCTGAGTTATTTTTTGGTTTCATCTTATCAAGCCTTATTGGGGAAACTTGTAAATATATTCTTATTCTTCTGTGTTTGTCTTGAACAATTATGTGCTTGTCTTGAGAAGTTGTGTTCTCTTTTGGGAGTATGTTTGTCTTAAGCAATGATGTATCTTATCATGTTATTTGTTGGTCACTTTTCCGTAACAGCATGTAGTTGTATTTTTTACTAAAATCATTTAAATTTATTCAAAATTATTAATAGAATTTTATTATTAATGTGTCACAAAAACCGTAAGCATTATTAGTTTATAAGTATTCTTAATCATGTAGGCTGGCAACCCTTACTAGAATATCTTTTAAGCCGGGAATGGCAACTAATATATTTGTGATAATTTTTAAACTTTGACCCATCTACTTGGGGTTGCTCTTTCCTGCCCTCTTTGTCCATTCAGCAAGATTTGATGCCATATCTATACTTAAATAAGTAGTTTTTAGGTTCATTGATTGAATGTCATCCAGTAAATAGCTGTAAGTCTTCCACAAGCCTGCATTGTTGTGGGTATATCTACAGCTACCTTCGCCATATGTTAAGCAAATAATTACTTTATCTAGCCTCTCTCATAAACCCATAATTTTTTTATGTTGCATTAATCCCACCTTTACAATACTGCAACAAGAGGGTCAGTAAAATGAGGTGGCTTCTTGGCATATGAATATATAATGCAAATATAAACTGATATTATTACTATTTAACAGTGATATCAAGAATTAATATTATTCAAAAGAATACAACAACACAAAATAAAAAGGTCACAAGAACTTGGAGGGTTTTACATAGACTTAAGATACTTGGCAATCAAATATGCTTGCTTGTCTTTGACAATATTTTGTTTTTTTATATACCCTTATTCAAAAGAAATCATTTTAATATAGGGTACAGGTTTGCTATTATGATTTTTAAGATAACACCTTAGAAATCATATTCCGCATCTTTTGTCTGTTTTAATTGTGATTGGATTATTAGCAATAATTTACCATTGATTATTATGAGCTGTACTATAGCTTAAAATAAACAACTTTGCATTCAAAATTAATCACATTAACAATCCTTAATACATGATTATTATGTCTATATATCATCATTAAAATTCTAAAATGTTTGACATAACATAACTAGTGAAGAGTGAAACTATGAAAAAACTATATATGGTTTTAAATATAAATTAATGCTCAATACGTTTTTATCAGTTGTAGATTCCCTGGTTATTTATCCAACAAATAAAAATTAAGAATGACTGCAGTTGATAATCTCTCCGACAAAGACAAAGAGTTCTTAGCAGAATGTGAAGAACAATTCAAAGATAGATATACTGAAAAAGATGAAGAGTTCATGAAAGTGTTTAATGCTGAAAAATCTATCCCTCCTATTGTGAAAAATTGGTGGGTACCACAAAACTCAGGACACAGAAATGATCGGAGAAACAACAGGCATTACAATCCATATGAACAATCAGGGAACAGGAACTACGACAGGAGGGGCAGGAGAGATTATCACGATAATTATGAAAGAAGAGGAAACTTCAGTAGGACAGACAACTATGAGCGTAGAGGTTATAATGACTACAACAGGGACAATGACAATCGACCGAGTTACAATAGACCATATCGGAAATAGTGATAATATAATTTATCAATAAGGACAATGTATTATTACAGTAAATAAAAAACATATTTTTCTCAAAAGAATATATTCTCAGTTATTATGGCTTGATTTACATTTTAACAACTTATAAATTACATAATAAATCACCAATAAAGTAATGCAGCTACAGGCGATCGTAAGACAGAGTTATAACATAATAAATAAATATTTATATTCATTCTCATTGCTACTCAACAAGTCTAGTGATTATAAATTTATAACAATAATTATGCCGATATAATTTTTTAAACTTAAATCATTCACGACATTCCAGATGTACACAAACAATATCAAAGCCAAAATATTACATTATGCGTAGTACATGCGGTCGGAAAATTTTCTTATAATTTCACGATGTTATACTCCAGCTATTTACCGTAACTCATTGTACTTTCTACTGTATATTGATAGTATCGCGTGGTCTTTCATAAAAATAGATCTCTTTCTAATCTCAGATAGGAATATTTTGTATAGATTATGTACAGAAAACGTATAGGAATGAAGCTACCGGTCAAACAGGAGTGCAACTGTAAAATAAATAGTGATTGACCGATCAGGTATAACTGAGTAACATCATGTTAAGTGACACAATTACTAAGCACAATGACGATTACATTCATCAAGCTTCTAAGGTAACTATTTTAAAAATATCTCCACTAATCAATTAATATTACATACGGCTACTCATTTCTGTATCGAAGCGTATTATCACAAAAATAAATTATATATATATTTATTACATTATTATTGAATGAATAAACATAAACAGATTTATAATTTTCCATAGAATCTCAAATTAAACTATCATTTTATTATATGCCCATGGCGGTAGCTAATAACCAAAAGGAATCTTTTAGACATCCAGTGAATTACAATGTGATACATAACGCTTCAATAATCATATCAAAATGCAACCATATTGATCAAATCACAGTGAAAGTATAACATAAATTATGCTCACTAACTTAATATTATGACTCGAAACATATAACATAACACACCAAATCAACTACATACACAAATAAAATATTAATTATTAAATCGCCCAATGTGTTTCCAGCACTAAACGTTTTAAGAATATAGGTTTCCTAACCACAATTCAGTCGGGACGCTCGATCATCGGCAAGAATATAGAATACACCGGTCGGCCGCCAAACGGTTTTTTGAGCGTTTTATAAATACGACTCCGAATGGACTTACAACAAACATTACGCTGATAAGTAAGTAGATCGATGTTCAATACTGGAGGACATTAACAATGGCGTCTAAATACAATGATCCATTCGTTAGATATAAACTTCTACATTATCATTATGATTTTAATTTTAATCGTTACAAATAATTTTTCTTCAGTAAACGTTAACAACAAAGCACAATAATTGTTAGAATTGACACGTAATATCGGCCTGTTGTGAGACCGTGAAGCGGTCTAGCGCAGGGTTGCCACCGTCGCAACGCTTCCAACTTACATACGAATGACAATTGACTAGTATTTTTATCGCACTCGTCCGCGAGCCGGCGAGCGGCAGTCGATCAATCGGAACGCGCCCCATAATTCGAGGATCATATCATTGGTCGGGTTTTCAGTACATTTGACTAGAAATGCGCGCAGACGTCTAGATACCGCCCGCGCGTCATCACTTTCGAGTCACAATGCGAGTACAAAATCGTTTTCAGACTCATCGGTGCGAAGTCGAAAAGACTGATTTTATTTTTTTATTTTTTGTTTGTAAAAAGTGTCAAATCTTCGTAGCAAATTTCATAAGATTGTCTAAAGCTTGTTTTGATTTGAGAGTAGAGACTCGTTCAGATGAAGGTCCAGCATTCCATGATCTTGACTATGAAATCCTCGCGTGTGGTGAGCGGCTCGTTGCCGTACGTGGTGCAACGCTGCGTACGCCCCAGATACAGATCGCCGTCGAGCCACAGACCGAACTTGCCGCTGCAAAATAATAACATGCAAAATTACTTTAGCACGTACAAAACACTCATACCAATTTGAATGAATCGAAAGAAAGAAACGCACGCCAGTATGAAATCCGAATAGAATTCTTAATATCACCTGTCATTTATTTGCTAGATGTTAGATGACTCTTCGGAAATGCAACTTGCGGATAAATCCGTCATTATTATTCTTCAAAAATAATATTGACAAATATTTCCGATATCGTAGCAGATAGATGTCACCAAATTAAATAAAAAATATATAAACCAAGTTTAATTATTATTGAAGAACGATAATGACGAATGTATCAAAGATGAATTTCAGTTTCAGAAGAATCATTCACGTGCATTAAAGACTTTTCGTCATCCTCACTGTTAATGTACTATACTATCTACCTTAAGTTCAATATTATCCTATAAATTTTCTTTGTTTGTATGTTTAGATGTTTGTCCGTCAATCACGCCGAAACTACTGAATGGATTTTAAAGAAATTTGGTATACAGATAAAGTATTAGCTGACTTAGATAATAGGATACTTTTTATCCCACTAAACATTTCCCTAGGGTCCATTCGGGCGAAGCCGCTGGCGAAAGCTAGTTATATATATGTCAACAATGTGCAAGGAAGACATTGCACTAATAATATTGGACTTGAGATACGCGACTTTATACTGAAACAGCCACATTCATGAAAATCCTTATCTCACGTCTAATGTGTATGTATGTGTGTGTGTTATATTGTATATTTATATAATTTATTCATCTATGTATTTATATGTATTTGTGTATTTGTATCTCTGTATTTGTCTAAATTGAGTACTATATGTGTGGTATACCTTTACTTTATATTTAGTCTGCACATCTCCACATCATTTAGAGGTTGACTGACAGAGAATGCCTAAGGCATTAAGTCCGTCTTTGTACCGTCATAAAGTATTAAATAAATAAATAAATTGCACAATAGCAAAATGTAAGTCGTTTCCATTCTATTATTACATGTAAATATTAGCCGAATTGGCTTGAGACACTAACACACAGTTATACTCTGATTTTAATTAAATAGACTAACAGCACACAGACGTCCATTAAATTTTTCATAAGTTTAAAGCGACATTATCGATACAAATTTGTCATTCATTAGAGCTTAAAGCCGTCATTAAACCTTAATGGACGTTTGTGCAACTGGCTGTAAATACAGCTGATGGGTCGCCACTTTATCTCAAAAAATAGTGTTGTGGTCAGAGTGAAAGGAAGTGATCTATGAATTTATCATACTTTCACATTTGATTAATTACTTTTTAGTTTACCTTATAGTTTATACATAAAAATGTTTTCACATATTGAAAGTTAGCACTTACTCGCCAGCTCCAATAGATATGTTGTCGTTGCTTCCTCTGATGAAGTACATATTATCACCAGTCCACCCCCAATATTTGAATTTGGTTTTAACCGGTGCCGGTTGATCTGAAATAAGGAAAATATAAACGTTATAATTAGTTATTACCGTAATTAAACAAAATGGACTGTTCCTAGAGTTGGCGGAAAGACAAAATTACGCAGATATAACAGTAACTTTCAACTAAAATGGCGCACGGTGACTCGTAGTATGCATAAAGTAGCATTCTACTAATGTTTACGTATTAATAACATGTCTATAGAATCTCAACTACTTGCATACTACAATTGTACTACCTACCTGAAGTCGAATCCTATCTATAATATATAAATCTCAATTTTAATATTATAAATGTGAAAGATGTTTGTCGGTCAATCACGCCGAAACTACTGAACGGATTTTGATGAAATTTGGTATACTTAGATAATAGGATACTTTTTATCCCACTTAACATTTCCCTAGGGTCCACGCGGGCGAAGCCGCAAGCAAAAGCTAGTATTATTATATATATATATATATCCCCATTGATGTGTGAGGAAGACATTACATAAAATATTAGACTTAAATAGATAGATAGACAATGGTAAAAAGCAAGTAGTTGATATGCGATTATTACCTAAACATTAGCAGAACTGACCTGTAGTTCTACCGATTGCGAAGGGACACTAAACATGCTATTAAAATATATTGTGAATCATGTTTCAATAACCGTAAGGTGTAAAATAAAATTGCACTTGTTCAGAGCAATACATTATAGTCTGCACGATGTGAGACAAGTGGTAAAATATGATTATTTCTCTTATCAAAAAAATCTATAAGTTCGAGTCAAACTCGCGCACGTAGGGTTCCGTACCGGAAACGAGCAAAAAGTATCACGTTTTAAATATTTATTTTACTCTGATATATAGTATCTATTGAAGTGGCAACAGAGTTAGATCATCTGTGAAAATTTCAACTGTCTATTTCCACGGTTCATGTAATACAACCTGGTGACAAAGAGACAGCGAAGTCTGCGTAATAAGTGTGACGGAAACCTAAAAAGCACAGAAAAAAATGTACATTTTGATTGACATCTAATTCAAAGAAAACACATTGGTACTCCCCTCAACGATGAGTGCGTTCGATTCAACTTGATGTACTGAACCTAAACTGTGTCTAACAATAAAGTACTGCTCATTAAGTGTATTTTGATTTAATTCAATGTCAACCAAATCTAAGCCAATGTAGTTGATATATATCAAACCGACCTCCTTTCTCGTCCTTTATCACATCTTCCTTGGTATTCTCTTTATTATCCTTCTCCTTGTCATGATCTTTGTCTTCCGACTGCGATGGTCTGCGAGTGTCCTCCACGCGCTGGAACGAAAACAGAAGCGACTCGCCAGTGCCGTAGAAGTGCTCTGAGGGGTGTAACGCGCACGATGTTAACGCTCCAAATACCTGAAACAATTCATCAATAATAACTTATTAAACATAATACAAAGCAGAAAACAGAACGGTCAGTAGGCTAATAGGGAGGGATGCTGCTTGGGTTAAAAAAAAAACTATTTAGTCCGTCAAATGTTAAATACACATTTTTCTTTGCTTCAATTTAATGGCTGATATTGTTGTATATACACTTCATGGTCATTTATGTTATTTATGAAGTTATGCTCTTTGTCATGACATATAGATAGTAACGTGATTGAAAGTAAACACCATTGCTTTACAATACATTGTTTTAATATTATAGTTATATAATAGATATAATGGGCATTATAATTGAGGGGTGGTCACTTGCTACGTTACAACTAAATTAAAAAATGGACAAAGGTGTGACGTCATAAGAAATTTCGACTATTGAGTTGATGATTGTATTGTATCACCGTAATTTATTAATTAAACATAAAATTTAAAAAAAAAACACTTATTAAATATTCTTTAGTGTTCAACCTGAAGGTTGAAAGTTGAAGTTAAAAGAAAACCAATCATCATCCCTATTGTTTAATTTCAACATTAATCGGAATGACTAACAATGGTATAGCGATTTATGGAACCTCGTAACTTTTAAAGTTCCAAACGCTTTTGGAACGAATGATTTAAATGACCAAGAAACTTAATAAAAACTTATCTAAGACTTTTCTCAACAGCTTTCAGATATATTTGCGTCTAACGCTTGCTTTAGACAATTACACATACCATCAAAATAACGTTGCGATAGCAATCGTTATCACATGTTACATAGTTGAAGCGTGAAGTTCGTAAATATTTTTCAAATGTCAATTTAAAAAAAATTATCCCTTTGGTCACTAAAAAGGCAAAATCTTTCTTATAAATGTGCACCTGACCACGTATTCTTCTCTTAAGGTTGACTGGCATAAAATGCCGCAAGCATTAAGTCCGCCTATGTAAATTTGTGCATGAAGAATAAATAAATAAAACTTCTCAATCGATTATAAAATCTAAATCTGTTAATGTTTAATTTAGTAACGTGACACGATATGAAATGCAAAATAAATACAATTATGTAATTTTTCATATGCATTTTTTCTATATTATAAACATTTTTCTACCATACTGTGGTTATGTTAGACTCACGTTATTATCTGTGTCCTGTATGACAAGAAGCACAGGGCTGTCGACGCGCTGCATTTTCCTGTACATGGAGGCGAGCGAGAATCCGTGCTGGCTCGTGCTAAACGCTAGCGACCACATGTAGCCTTGCGCACGCGCCGGCAGCACGCTGCATAATTTCTCTCTGGAAAAAAAAAAACACTTTAATTTTAAACTCCGTTCCGATTCATGGCCATTGTGACGTTATTACCCATTAATTTTCAAACACTAGACGTGATAGGGTGATATAAAGTGTAATTAGTTTCGATGAGGACACGTAATTAACGCAACGTTCTTCTCGAAAATGCTAATAACATAGCTGCTGATAGATAATATGTAGGTAATTATACATTGTCGTATTAAACTACTAGCTGTCTTGTCGCGACTTCGCCCACGTATGTTATAGCCTACGTATAAGGTAACTTCTTTTTCTTCTTTATTTTATATCCTTGCGTAAAAGTGCTTCTTACATTTGACGTTTTAGCATAGAGCCTAATCATAAACACATAAATCACATCCTACGTAACAGTTGGTGAGACTTTTTTATCGGATCAGTATTTTTGAATATTACTCTCTACAAATAAACAAACAAAGCACTTAACCTTAAAACCTTAAACCTTAGAAACTTTACCTCTTTATAATGTTAGTTTAATTGGCTAAGGAATCTTAAGATAAAATTTGGCCTTTTATTACTCGTAAAGATACTATACATAAGCTATTTATGAATATTTTCATAAAGCTCTTGGAAACTTGAAATATAAACAAAAGTCGATGATATGTTATCGCGCTATCGCCGTTAGTGAGCACTATGTTAACATTAAATTATAATGTATTGTGAAAGCGGATACCGATATTTTCGCCACCAATTCAAAATATTTAAATAAGAAACCAAATTAAAACCATCAACGATCTTAATAAATTCCACACAGTCATAGTTTAAATTCATTAGAGGCTTTATACAAACAAGGCACGTCTCTAGAGTTGCAATGTTACAATAAATCACACGAAGATTTTCTTAAAAAAAAACTACTTTAATACTACTAGGACGATTCAAAATACACGTAATTTTGAATCGTCCTAGTAGTATTAAAGTAGTTTTTTTTTAAAGAAAACCTTCGTATGATATATTGTAACATTGCTCAAGGCTACCAAAATGTTCAACCTACTAAATTCTTTAACGGCCGAATTTGTCGTCGCCCGAGGCTGCAAGCAGCGACGGAAAACGAACTTGTTCCGTCTGCAGTCCAAATTCGATTCTCGCCCGGTCAGATTAATGTAATCAATATGCGAAAAGCTATATTATTTGAAATATATACAGTTATATAGTAGATACTTTCTTTTTTAATAAATATAATTACCTCGCTATTGCTTTAATATATCATATAGTGATCGGAATTACAAACGCCTGTAAATCTATCGCTTAACTATATTGACTTCGTTTTAGTTGTTTTCGTTCAATACTTCGAATGTTGAATGCATTCTAATTGAATCCGATGTCGGCCAGGTCGAAATCAATGTGGTTATGCGGTAGGATCCTTGAATACCAACATAGTGTGGACTCTTATTTAATGAGACTACTTTCCAATTCGCGAAATTTAGTACAGATTTTAGTATAAAGTGATCGTGTGTATTAGCTGTTTCCAACTAGTGAGATTTAGTACAGATTCTAGCACAAAGTGATCGTGGTTGTTACCTGTGTTCCATGGTGAATATCTCCGATGTACCGATGAGGTCGGGTGGCGAGAACTCCATGTCAATGGAGGCGCCTGAAGAGTACAGAGCACGTCGCAACTCATTGCTCATCGACAGCACCTGTACGCATACGCACATTGTTAGCTAATGAATATTATAAGGAAGCTATTGTAAAGGAGCCTATACACATTGGGCAATCGAATTCGAATCGAACACGTTCCATATATTTGTACAGCGTCATCTACCTCCTCCGTAAAGAAATTCAAAATTTCCATTATAGGTATAATCGTGAAATTTGTGCTCGATACGCATTCCGTTCGAAGTCGATAATTGTTTGTGCTTAAAAATAAATTGGCTGTTTAAATGTCTGTTTTTAGTTTGATACCTGGTGATAAAAAGAATCGATTATATTAGCGGTATTATGATATTTATATTAATGCAATAATAAAGAACGATATTATACGAATTTGTACGATAACACTCTGATTTGGACGTTAATTTTACAATTTTTATTTGACGCCATTAATGTGGAATGATATAAATATAAATACTAATACGATAAGCACGACACGTCTGTACTCTATCGTATAAAATAAATCCAGGATAAAAATTGTGAGGATGATATTTTCAAAAAGGAATCCATAAAAGATTCGGACCCTACAATAACGGTTTACTACACTACCCCAATGTGATTCGGACCGTACAATGACAGTTTGCTACGTTTCGTTTCATTTACTACAGAAAAATATTCTTTAATCATATGGTTAAAAAGTACACATTACTTTCATTTTTATGCATTAATTTTTAAAGTAGCTTCACAATTCTCGAGATTATTTACAAATTACGTCCCTGGGCTCCCGATGAAAAGATACTTACATAATATTATTGTGCTAAAATATGTTATAAACACATGACATGTCAATCAATGTATGGAAAGTAGGCATGAGTCTTTCAACTCCTTACGATCAGCGGTTTAGGCTGTGCGTTGTCTGTCAGTCGGTAAGTTAGGACAGAGTTTCTTCTAGTATTATAGTAATAATGTGATCTCTACAAATTAATACATTAAATTTTTGTATTACCAGCGGGAAACACAATGAATATATCTATTAATTAGAAAATAAACTCCACTTTGATGATAATGATAGTCATACCGAAAAATCTTGATAGCTAGTTTCTCCTTATTAAAATTGAAAAATTCAAAATTTAATGCATATATTCTATCAAGTCCAAAAATATGAATGAATAAGTAGGCATCACTTACAATATATTTTATTTTAAAATGCGGAATCGACACAATATGTTAAACTATACTTTTTTTATTTCAACTACGTCATAATACCGGTACAAGGTAAACAATTTTCGTATAACACCCAGGAAATATTTTTTTAGCCAATGTTTGGATTCTATATTCTACGTGAGAAAAATATATTCTAAACTGTAAGTACATGCGTTACAAAGTGAACTTGAAAGTGCTTTAATACTCATGCTATAATTAATTGAAAAATAATGACAAAGATTTGATACTTGAACAACTTTATGAGGCGTTAGTATGAATTCTTAATAAATGTAAAATGTAATGGAAAAACAGACACGACTCATAAAGCTTTTATGGGTAGGTAGGTAAAGTAATATTTTACCAATTGAACCATGAAAATGAAAAGGTTGTGAAATGAACACATGCCACATTCACATTAGGTAAGGATGCCACCTTTTAAAATCCTATTTTAAAATATTTCATTTTATTATATTATTTGCTTTTACCGAAATAGATATAATAAAAAGATACGCGAGTTACGCGATAGACCGAAAAGAGTTATTAGTTAGTAGGAAGAAAGGGTGGTAGCTAAACATTTGAAATAAAACTATTCTACTCGAATAGAGCCAAGTTTCGTAATAAGTTGTAGTAGATTTTGAAGAAATTATGCCAAGATTATCTGATCACTTTGCATATTTAGATCTTTATGCAACTTTGGTTGCCTAGACAAAATTGAACTAGTGTACATGACATCATTAGGCGCCTTGGTCGCTTCGATAATTATAACACTCTCTGGACGTGATCTCTGTGTTACCAACCCTACTGTTTTATATTTAGCAAAACAGTAGATTTGCAGTTTTCATATTGATGCCCCTCTTTTCTGTTTTATTTACAGCGAATAAAGCTACGAAGAATTTTTTAATTGGCTGTACTTGAATAAAAAGGTGGCATCCGTATTCACAGGTGTCGATGATTGTAGCCGCTAGTGCCTGGTGTTTCGTTCCCTATACTACGTTACACATTCATCATTCCGTGTGCTTTGCACTGCTAAGACATATATAATGCAAAATCAGATACAGATTTGCAGGCTTGGCCGCCTTAGCATATAGTACCCACCCTTTTTTTAGCACTCATAATTAAAAAAATATATTAAATTCATTTACAGAGTGAATTTAATATTTTGAATAAATTAGAGTGTCTTGGGTAAACAAGTGAATATACAATTTCCTGTGTTCGATATTTTATAATACAATGGTAAATCCGCCACTGAGCACAATAAAATTAACAAAATATACAATAAATATAGTCCTCAAGTTATCGACCATTCACGGTGCTTATTCGACATCATCTATTAAGCACATAAACTTAGAACTTTCGCTACCAATGAACATTTTCTGATATTTAGTCTGGATACTGGCGAAATCAACAAGGACAACGTCATTAATAAAAAAGAAAAATAAGAAATTCTATCCAATGATCATTGCTCCTAAAACATCGGATGATCGGATCCAAAGCATTATTATTAGAAAAACAAATCTGTTAATAGATTTATCAGAATTCATATTAAATGAATATATTATAGTTGGGAGTGGATTAGACTGTATTCTAATGGAGATATTATTCAAAATGATTATTCTAAAACAATCTAGATCGTCTATAGAAAATTCGATTAAACAAAGTCAGAAAAAAAATACGCTAAAATTGCAATATTATATAGTATTAGTCCAAATTCATATAATACAGAGAATAAACAAACCTACTACATTCTAGGAGTAAATATTACACCCATAGAACTTCGTACTAAGGTTTTGTGTGAAACTTCGTTAAACTTTGCTAAGTCTCTGTTTGATAATATGAATTTTGATAAATACTTAGTTCAGTATTACTGCTGGGCATAGGCCTTTTGGGGGGATGCCTATGCCCAGCAGTGGGCGTCTCTCGGCTGATATGATAGTTCAGTATTAGCGTAAATTTACTCCAACGCTAAACCTTGTTTATTAATAATAGTAAGGAATGTTATTCAAATAATAAATATGGATGGTAAAAACCATGTAGATAAATTTCCTACAACTTCATTAGACATAACAAATAATTACTAATTATTTGACGTATCCAGTATTAATGATTATAAATATATTGATTAAGGTGACAATGTGACATACATAATAATTAGTTATAATAACGAGACAAACATGATTAATAGAGCCGTTAGAAATGATCATAATATTTGCTTATCTTATAAATTGCCAGTAAGTATAAATTACGGTTGCAATTGCTTATATCATCACGGTGAGCAAAATTAGTTTTTTTTTTTTCAATTCACATATAAACGAACAGATAAAACATAGTTAAGATGATTTACGAGCGTATTTGAATCAATTTTATATTGTGTTGTGCTAATTGGTGCACACTAGACCGCGAAGTTTCACACAAAATTATGTCGTACTTAAGTAGTTTGGTAATGTTATTTTTGGAATAATGGATTTTTATTGAAACTATTTTGTTAAAAATGAGGGAACAGAGCCATTAAGTAGGCAACACAGAGCTGTCTTAGAGGTTCAATCGAAAAGAACCTTTGCTACCTTTGAACCTCTTATGCTGTGAAGGCGCTGTGTTCGACGCTGTTGTTTTAACAGAATAGCTCTATTGAATTTATATGAAAAAGAAAAATTAGCTACTGCCATTGCTAATAAAAAAGGACTAAAGTTAGAACTGTTGGCCGCCTTAAGTAAGTTAATAATAACAGAAGAGAAAACGTCAAATAGAGATGTGTTAATTTATTTTGGCCGGATAATGGTTTAAACCTCGTACTAAAGTCGGTCCTCGTATAATAAGACGGTTTACAATTTATTATGATATATTTATAAAGATTGTGTTTATTCGATATACCAAGTCAAAAGTCGATGTTTATCTATCAACAAATTGACGATTGTTAAATGTGGTTTTAATTAATTTTGCTAATGAATACTAGAATAAAATTATACGTATTATACATTATCAATAACCTTAACCACAAACTTAATGATAGGCAGCGCTGTGGTCTGACTATCAATTCTTTATAACATAAACCGGTATTTTCCAATCGTTAATGACATAAATATCATAATATAGAAGGCTACTATAATCCTAATTGATTCGAGAAAGTTCTCGAATTCAGAGTTACAATAAAAATAATCATCTACTATTGGAATTGGAATACGTTTTCAAATTTTTGTAATCGCGAGAACGCTCTTCCGATGTTGAAGAACGTTTAATAAAGAATTACCCAAAATTTGTCTTAGAACAGCGTTTTATATAAACAGAATATCGTCTCTACATGTGGATATAGAGACTTCTCGTCCATATAGGAATACTATGCAACTGTCTAAAGAGCTCATATTTGGAGGAGGCACGGCATAATCTGTTTTGGTCTAATATTTGAACCCAATCAGCACCTTAAAAAAATTGGCATTTTTTGTTGTTGGAGATAAATCCATGTCATTCACGGACGAATTCTAGCGATCGATAAATCGGTTCCAGCGGAAGATGAGCGCTAATCATATGCTGAGTTGGAACCGTTTTAGGCATATGCTGAGTTGGAACCGTTTTAGGACAGTTTTCCTTGTTCATGTGTTTGTATTACATTCTATTTCTTTTTGTCCCAAATAAATGGATTTATTATTATTATTCAAAAGTTCAAAATTTTCAAACTACGTAAGGAAACCGGAGGAGTAACCCAAGTAAAGAGATTTTATTTTATTGGAATGTTTAGGCACGAGCGTCGTTCCAGAGTATTGTTTAGGTCGCCAAGTTTCATTGAGTCGGTGCTGTCTAGTTTACATAGTTTCTTCGTATACTGTTGAAATTCATGCATTGAAGTCGCTCA